GCAATATTTTTAAATACACAGCGAAACCCAAGCTTTAGTTAAGTTGCACAACAAGGGACTTTTCCATTTGAGAGTGCAAATATTTGTCATATCCTGAAACTACAAACTAAGCATGACATAAATTGTTTTATAGAGAATTAAGGAATTCAATGGCTCCTACGTAAAATATGGTATGTTTAAAATGCAAATTTTGAAAGGGAAAGTTTAAACATTAACACGATTTTTTACAACACATCAAACGTAAACATACTGTAGACAACGAAAATTTGATTCTTCCTAGCGTAACTTTTAAATTAACACAGAAATGAGTACAAAGGTAAAAAAAATAAATAGATGTAAACGCAAAAATGTTCTTACAATAGTTTACTTAGGAGCCGATAACTCGGATTATTCAATCAATTAAGCTAGATTTATATAGTTTTGATTGTTTGATTGGTGAGGGCAGGCGGTCGGCCGCAAAAAGGTAAGGTAGGCTAGGGTAGTAGGTAGTACGTAGGGTTTTGCCTACTGGAGTAGAATAAGAAGGAAGATGATGGTATTAACAGTGGTAGAGCCCGCTTTAATATCTCCGCACTGCAGGGCCGGCTCGCCCGGTGTAATACCACGACCACACAGAAAACAGGCGTGAAGTGGAAGCAAATCCGCGTACAGTCTGATGAGTGTGGTGCCGGAGGCCTAATTTTGGTCCCCTTCCCTTTCCACCCTTTTCTTAAGAGGAAAGGACGGGAAGGAAAGGTGGATTTGATGATGGAGGAGACGCATAGGAAGGGGAAATGTCCTTTTAATGTGATGAAATGTCCTCCGTCGACTAGGCATTTCATTTCGGTGGATTCAGGTGGCCGCTTGCTCGTTTGTCACCTTATATTATAAAAAAAATGTATTAAACAGCTTTTTACCTTGTGAGAAATGCGTGTCCAGATTGAGAGTGTCGAGTGCCGTGAGCATCTGGTCGTCAGTGTAGCTGACGTCGATGGAGCGCTCCATGCGCAGCTGCGTGCCGTTGGATTTGTTGAATACATCCTTCAACTCCATCTCCAGTAGCACCTGAAATATACAAAAAAATTATATATTAGCTGTTGGCTGCGACTTAGTCTATAGTGTTATGTTAACTACGAAAAACAATAAACTAGGTATCTCTTGGGAACTTGAATTATTTAGTGATGACATAAATCTCATGTGTTACTCAAGACATTTATGTCTGAGCAAAATTTCAATAAGATATGTAGAACCGTTGTAAAATTATTGATTAAACATTAAAAAATATAACTTACAAATATTATAAATGCGTTTAGTTTAGAGGGATGGATGAATCGATGGATGTTTGTTAGAATTCGTAGCCTAAACGGCTAAACGGATCTCTGAAATTTCGTATAGACGTAGAGTATAGTCTGAAAGAACACATAGACTACTAACTTCTATTATACTGAATCCACGGGAACGAAGTCGCGTGCGAAAACTAGTATACATATAATTCCCACAGGAAACACAGTTATTTCCGGTATCAAAAGTAGCCTATGTGTTCTTCTAGACTATTCTCTACATCATTTAGCAGTTTTGACTATAAACACTAACAAACATCCATCCATCTAAACATCTGCATTTATAGGATTAGTAAGATTGGTGTCAGCGTTTGATGCAGACGGGGAGGGGAACTAATAGTAAAAATACATTTTTCTGTCCCCCCCTCCCCCTCTGATCCTCCCCGGTGACACCCATCTTCACAAGTGGATACCTTCTCCTTGATGAGCTGCTGCATGTAGTGGTCGTGGTCGTGCATCCTGGCTGCCAGGTCGGCGTGCTGGCCGCGCAGCGTCTCGCACTCCTCCAGCAGCGCGCTCTGCCGGCTCGCGTACATCTCGTTGATACGGTGACATTCCTCTTTAGACTTCTTCAGCAACTCTTGTAATATTAGTTTCTGAAATAATTTAAGAAGGATACATCAGCATCAGCACATTAAAGTTCACAAACGCTCAAAGCCTTACTGAACTTGGGCGTGAGTAGGACATAGTGAACTATACTAGCCCACTGCGGGTTGACTTCACATTTACATTTGAATTTCCTTCAAGGTAACTTATAAACGAAATTATTTCTTACACCATCAATATACATAATTAAAAATACATTAATATATGGCGGGATACCTTGAACTACCGACGCTCTTAGCTTAAGAAATATGGTATAACGCGAAATTGTTTATATAACGGAATTACCCCAAAAGTTTAATAACTAAAGTAATTTTCAATAAACAACCACACAAAAACACACCAGGTATCAAGGTCAACTCACCTCAGATTCCAGCGCTGCGACCTGTTCCACGAGCACCCTGGCGCGTTTCCTGGTGACGTCCAGGTCGCGCGAGGCCTCGTCCAGCGCGCGCTCGCTGCAGCACAGCCGGTCACACGCATCCTCGTAGTCACGCTTCACGTGGCTCAGGGTTATGTTCTCCTCGCGCAACCTGAACGGAATCGATTATTAAAAATCGATTTGAGTCATTATTTCAGAAGTAACTACCCGAATAGATTATCAAAATCGATTAACTGAATCTGCTGCAATCGCTACATTTTCGAATAACTACATTACAACAACGATTTATGAGGTGAAGTAGCTTTAAATGACAGAAAAATGGTTCTAAAACCACTAAAAACTGACCCAGCTCTTTAAATAAAGCTAAATTTACCATAATAAATTTTTAAAAAGACCAAAGAACCTATTTACTGTGTAGAACACACAAATATACTAAAAAAAAATTAAATGCATGGTGAAAAAAGGAGGTACCGATAACCCAGGAGAAAAATACCAAATACTCAGTCTCATAAAGCTAAAACTTGGTAGACTAACATATTAAGATGTACAACTAGTGAGTCCCGCTCCGCAGTGACAGTGGCCAGTTGTTCCTCATGCTGTCTGTCGGTGAAGTCAAGCTGGCTGCGCAGCTGCTGCGCCAGGTGTGCCTTCTCCTTCAGCTCGCACTGCAACTCCTCCAGCAGTTGGAAACCTGGAGGGGTATTTATATTACAGTAGGTTATATTATACTTAATATTATATGCTTTTTGTATTTAACGAATAAACTCAAACTACAAGACAGTCAAATATTATTTTACCATTAGATAGCTATATGATCTGAGCATATAAAGGAGCGTCAGTGGCTCAGTGGTTTGAGCAAGTCTTGGGTTTGAATCCCGGCAAGTACCAATGTGATTTTTGATTATTTGAATTTTCATATGTACATAATTTACCCGATGTTCTTACGGTGATGGAAAACTTCGTAAGGAAACCTGCACATATTGGTGAAGAAATTTAAAGATATGTGAGAAGTCAACCAACCCACAGTGGGCCAGTGTGGTTGACTATGGCCTTGTCAACCTAACTTAGGGTATGCTCTGAGCCCCTCGGTGAGGACTCTAGTGGGACTCTAGTGATGAGCTATGTCATCACTACATTTATTACTAGACTTTTTTTTTAATTCTCGCCTAAAAGATAGTTCTAGAATTATATTTGGAACTACATCAATCGTTAAAAATTTTCATGAACTAGAAACTAGTCAGTCTTTGTACTTGTTATCTCTTGAGTTCAACAATTGTTTACTTTGATAAGATCCAATTATAAGTGACAAAAACCGTTATTCATTTTGAATAATCATTACTTTGTATTTACTAAGTGGATTTTTAATTTGTTGCTTTACCTTCAGTTGAAATACCGGAATCTGAGTCATGTGGGCCTTGTCCATTTTTTAAATTATAGCTGAAAAAAAAAATTGTTATCCTTATATTCAAACAACAAGTAAATGTTACAACACTATAGGTTACTGGCATCATCAAGATTATAAAAAAAATATATCTACAGAAAAACTTAACAAAACTCTTCAAAGTTTTTAAGCCTGTAATTTTGGATCTTCAACAGGAAGGCTCTACGATAACATTATACCATACAAAATAGCTAACTTAGAAACAGCTAGAGAGAATCTAGTAAGGTTTGAAAGTTTATACACATTTTCATAGTCTTAAATAGGAAAGGGCTGAAGTATTTTGAACCATCTGACTAAAACAACATACATATTAACACTTAAAAAGAATCTCTTATCATTGTAAGTACCTTTCATCTAAATCAACCTTTATCTTCTGGTTTTCACTGTATTTGTTTAACACTGATGCTAAAGTTTCAACTGACACCTCAGGATTACATTCTTCTGGATCCAGCAGTGATTTTAAATAACTATATTCAGCCCTGGAAATTACTATTAATATGAAAATTGTTTATAGCCGTTTAAAAAAGCAAAATTTGCAGTCTCTTGTCATATAGTGTTAAACAAGTTTAATAACAAGACAATCATAAAGTCAAATTATTTTTTTATACATAAAAAGAGTGCTTACTTGTTTGTTTTGATAAAAGGCGCAAACTTGTCCATTAACGCATCAACTCGTAAAGTCTCGGTGCTTTCAGCACCGCAGTATTTGAAAATATGAACGGCTGTGTCAAAATAATCTACAAACCCAAAAATAAACCCTATTAATCAAAGTTACCTACGCGATGTTTTAATTTTAACAGCAAAATACATATTTTACGTACCGTCCGTGTTTAGGTCTTCATTTAAATTCATTTTTGTTTTCAATTTTAATAAATTGATATTAACTCAATAAAACTATATGTTCATCTAGTTTAAATACAACGTGCACGTTTACAGCCGGGATTGTTTATTTTCATTAACCTAAATAAATTCGTTACGCTACAGGGAAATACGAAAATAGTTTTGTAATAAAAACGGTTCAACTTCAACTACCATAGTGAATAGTGACGAGCAATGCATCAAACAAGCGAATAGAGCTATCGAGCACAGATATCGAATCTTTCTCGATTAAATCAATGATAAGAAAATTAATTAAACAGTCTATTTAATATTCTATTATTTTTAAACCGTCTATTTAATAATATAAAACCTATGAACGACAGTAGATATAAGATAAGCTTATTTCAGTTTTTTTTAAACCTTCGTTCAATTTTTTATTTTACATCCAAGTGCTTGAATTTAAATACTGAACTGGAGAGTAGAGTACAAACAATTAATTTTTCGTGATATCAAGCTTTAATCACTTTTATAAAACATTAACGTATTCTTATAACATTTAATACTTCCATGAGGCCATTATGTACTTTCAATGTAGCCAGTTTAGTTTCTATCATTGTGAAGTCGCTTAATTCCATCTGAAACAAGATTGGTTTTATTTATTAAAAAAAATATCTGTCATAAAACATAGAATCGATTTATCGAGAATCGAGTTCCTAATAAAATTGAAAACATTGTTGTCACAACCCTCAAATACGTTCGGTGACAGCTGTCAATTTAACCTCGTCTTTTTAATTTTAAATTATGAGGATGAGGAATTGATGTTTAGGTCTACTGCTACCTATACAAAAATTCTATACTCCAATTATAGTTTTCAATTCGCGACAACACACAAATAAATTATTTTCCTTAAATTCTAGATTAACTGAATTATGTCAGAGGTTAAGATACAGCCGTATATTCGTGGAAAAACTGAGTTAAAAAACGTTTATTTTCAAATTATTTGTGTACGTAGTAAAACAGTATTGATATATTTACTCCATCCGGGGGATCCTTTTCTCTCGGTGGATATCTTCCGTACATTCGTTCACATATCGCACACAATCCGCACCACGTGCGATATTTCAAAGTATTCGAGTCGTCCTGGAAAAGTAAATCAAGTAAATTACACTGCTAATAATAACTTAATTTTAATACAATTTTATACACAAACTTCTAAATCAGTGTCCTCTGAAGCAAATTGAGCTTTATATCGCTCATCCAACTGGTTTAATTTTATTTCATCTGGAAGGCTGTTCTCTTCCCCGTATGAGTCCCACTTCATGATGTCTCTAAAGTGGTCCGCTTGTTCCATGTCCATTATCCCGCCCATCATTAAAATGAGACCTTCTTCAATGTTCTACAAAAAGAACACAGTACATGTACATTCGGGAACATAAGTGTTGTTCTTAAAGTAGTAAAGCTGTTTGTGTTCGATTACTTTAGTGTCACCTATAAAGAAAACTTAAGTAGGATTTTACTTTTATTGGAATCCTGTATCCATTCGGCCTAAACTTCCTGATGACCGTGAGATAAAGAAGTTGCTTCGACTTTTTGATCGTCACAAACCTCGCGGCGTATGACATTGGTGATAGAGCTGTCAAAATACGTATAAAAATTGTTACCTCTCATATAAAGTACATTGATGTAAGTAAGCGGATATATGGTAGTAATATTTGGTCGTACTCTCCAGCTCGGTGTAGTCTATGGGCAGCGCGAAGGTGGCATTGGTGCGTGAGAAGACGCGCGGCACGTGCAGCCAGTCGGCCAGGCTGCAGGCGGCCGGCAGCGCGCGCACCACGTTCTGCAGCTCCGGCCCCGCCGGCCGCGACCCTCGCGTCCTGAGTGCTTCTTTCAGCACGTAACGACGCTACATAGTACACTTTATTGTAGTTGAATAAATAAACATGTAATCGTCGTACTATAAATGTACAAATTCGCAAACTACAAGTGGAAGTCGCTCAAGGAATTACAGTAGCTCCTTCCATCCTAAAATAATTCGCCCTAAGAGCGCACGCACACCTTACACTAAACTGGAGGTGCGCACATTACTCCTTTTTTGTGCAACTACCATAAACAGTTGAACTTGCTGAGAAACAATCAAAAATCTCACAACAGCTGTGCGATAGTTTAGTCATAGGTGTACGCCCGCTCTAAGAATATTCCAAATCTTTACACTAATCAAGTTTTGTAATACCTGATGTCGAAGTTTTCTTTAACATTTGTCATAATCACATCGAGAATGTCACTTACCTTAGTATCAAACTCAGTTTCAATAGCTTCCTCATCAACTTCTCTATGCAAGTACTTGAGAATGTCGTCATCTAAGAAGGAATCAGTGGTGGATGCTGGCGTGGGCTTGATCACAAGTGGTAGCGGTATATCCTCAGCGGCTGCTATGGAGCCTCGCGAGCTCGCGTTATGGGAATCTGTACCTATACCGGCTATCTAAAAACAAATCTACGTATCACCAATTTACTCCTTACCGTGATTCCGTGAAACTTGATATCCAATAGTTATACGTATGCACAGCTACCTAAGATATAATAAACTTACCTGAGTTTCAGGATCTTGCTGCGCTTGAGCAGCGAGGCCAGCGGACGCCAGACGGTCACTTCCAGCGCCGCGAGCTTTGCGCCGACGTTTGCCGCGCCGGCGGACCTCAACTGACATATCATAGTGAACATTAACACCACTTAGAGTCCTTTCAGAAACCAGAAAATCAGTTTCTTACACGAAAATAATATTTTTTTTATAAATAACCGTTTCTCACCAGTGTCTTCAGTGTTGCCAGCTTCATTAGAATCATTGCTTTCCTTGTCGCCTTTCGACCTTTCAGACGCAGGAGTTTCCACTTTAGTCTTGCTTTTCGTCGCCTTCCCCAAGTTCAGAGCTTTTAGTTGATTCTGTAAAGAAAAAATATTAAATACTAATAAGTATATGATTCTTTACATTAATGTAGCGGTACACATATCGTGGAATTCCTTTAGTTCCTATGGTTTAAAATTTATTTATTCACCTCCAAGTTATGAAAGAACTCATCGCTTTCAATAGCCACAGATTTTGCTTTCTTTGTAACTTTTCTTTTCACCTGTACTTTAGGAAACTTTACCCTCTCGTTGGCTTCTATGTTCCATGAAACACGATTCAAAGTAATTCGTTGGCGCTTCTTAGGCCTATAACCGATGACTATTTTTGACAAATGTAACGAGGTACAGTCGCATAGACATTTGCATAAAACGGGTAGTTCTTTTTTATGTCTCCCTTTTAGTTTTACAGTATTACTACCGGAAGATTTCTCTCTTTTGTTTTCTTCGGTTGTAACACTGTTTTGTATCACTTTTGTTTTCAAAATTACATGCGGTAACATTGTTTTTACCACTCGTAATTGTTAGATTTGCCTTACTGTGGCACTTATCTTTTCAGTATAAATCATCAGTTTTGCGTCAAAATAATTATTGATTATTTTTTATCATCTAATCGTCTGTTATACTGTTATACGCCATGTGGGCTTTGCTATCTACTCCTGTACACGAACACTGATAACATAGCTTTTAATAGATTACATTCGCTTGTAGCTTTATGATAAAAGCGTCGGGTTTCGACGCTGTGTGATCTGATTCAATTCTGAGGACAAGAAACAAGAGTTACCTTTCTAGCATTTCGCTCGCTCAGCAGATCTTTGACTGGAAGGTTCCTCTTCGCTAGAACCAATGGTGAAGCTAAGGGAGGTAATTGTTCACATTGGCCAGTTAGCAGACGGCCGTGAGCGCTGTCAATATTCGAGGGTAGAGTAGACCGCTCCGCCGCACTGTGACCAGCTGTCAGCTCTGATGTACCATACCCATGGTAATACAAGGTTTCCTAGAAATGTAAAAACTTCTTATTAATTATGCTGCTGCGTTACAGTTACAAGACACGATTACCACGCGAGAAGCTGAAATGTTCATATATGATTCTAATAATAACATTGTGCAATATCCAAAGATTAACAAATTTAGATATAGAAAATACACAGGGAAATAAGTAAAAATTACTGTCTAATTTATATTTTTATTATTAATGAAGGACACCAGGAGCGCTGTCTATCCTTGAATAATAGAATTTAATGGATATTTATTGTGCATAATGTATTTGTTTCTTCGAACAATATTATTGTTCCAATCGTACAAAAGTGTTAATAAGTAATGGCTAGTTAATAAAACGTGCGTAATCCCGACTGCGGAATAGTAAACAATTTCCCTTATCTTAGACTGTTAACCTACATATGTACCTACGTAGTGTGTTATTTTACTGTTGGTGTGAAAAATAACTAAATCTTGAATTATGTTCTTATATTATCGAAAAGTGAGGTTAGTTTAATTAAAAAAATGTCAGATATAAAAAAGATTATATTCAATTTGTTCTGATAATAATCACTCGCGATAGAGAGGTGTATGTTATTATCGATATTATGATTATGTGTATTATGATATTAAAGCAATTATTACATTGATTAATTTAATACGTCTTTTTTAATCTACAATCTGTTTAGTGGCATATTCACGGAAATATAAACAATTTATCGATACTTATGATATATCGATATAATTGAAATTAAACTCAGACAGATAGTTATGTTTTTAATAGGGCTAGATCATAGGCTTATTTGTCGCGTTTACCTAAAGTTACTTCATTAGTTCCTTGTTACCTGACTATGACTTCTTCTCAAATCAAGAACTATTGCTGTTCTTTGTCGCGGCTGATCCGGGGTCAAACATCTTCTAGATCCTCTAGACTTGCCACTGGCGAGCGTTGGTGCTGGAGTAAGCGGCCTCGAATCTGTTTCCGTATACCTAAATACCAACGGAAGGAGTCATATAGACGGAGAGTATATTATGTGTTTCAGTAATTACTTGGGTATCCGGCACGCAACGTACCGTTCCTCAGATTCAGAAAAGATTGTCATTTGAACTATTGCTGGTTACTTTGGAGCCGTCAGCTCTAATCGTAACACTCTTGAAAATGTCTCAAAAGACTGTTTCGCATCTATGTTTTTACAGTAAAAAATAATGGTTACGAGATATTATTAAATAAGCATATTGTTTTTCTTTAATTCACAGACAATATCATAATCTGCCAACTGTGTTTTGAATTTTTTAAAAATAATTTTATTGCTCACCATTCTTTGGTGTGGATTTAAAGATTTATTTTCGGAATGCATTAATCTCTATATCTTATCTATGTAATCGTTTTATTTAAGCGATATAACAATCGCAGTCAAAATTTATTTGCCTTGCATGTATGATGTAAATAAATTTATACACCTTTCAAACCTTACTAGATTAGACAGCATTAGTAAATATAGCTTGTGATGCTCAGATTTAATAACAAAGGTTACTTTACTGGGACCAATTAGATAAAATATTTTAAGACTTGATAATTGATATACTTATTGTTAATTTGTTATTCTTACACGTAACAACAAAATGCAAAGCACTCTAAACTAATAGCCTACGATCAAAGATCAAAAAGGTGAACAGAATAGATTGTTTAAGATTGATGGATCTATTATCTGTTTAAACATCAGCTTTTACAATCAAAATGTTGGATATTTGCCAAGATTCAATAACAAGAACATCAGTTACAAATTAATAAAAATTATTGTAACACGTTAACGAATAATTATTTGTATATTTCCACGAATTAAAAATTATTTTCTTTTAAAATTTGCATCAAAATGTTATTTTAATGTGTTCAATATTTAAAATGCAAAGATTGCATTAAGAGATATGATTACTAAACTTCAAACTAGATTCTCCAAATTAATAGTTTTTGTTTGTTTATAATAAATTGTAATAAATGTGCTATTAAAAGAATTTATGATCATAGATAATGATCGCAAATTTATAGAAAGTGCACATTTAAAAGTAGATAATGGAATAAAAATATGCTTTATGCTTTTTTAATTTTCAACCAACGAAAATAATTTCGGTGCTCTTTCTGAAGAACGTACAATTTTAAATTAACACTAAGACTGTTTCGACTGAGGAAATAAAATACTACATAAGTTATAGCTGTTTTTCTGAATGTAAGTAATTATTACCTTCTAAACATGTCCTCAGTGACGATATCATGCGGAGTTCTGTTTTTCTCCTTTTCATATTGATCTTGAATCTTACTTAAATCCTCTTGGAAATAATGTATTTTACCTTCCAAGGCCTAGAAACAAAAATCATAAACGCAAAAGTCGTTACAAAAAACCTTATACTTCTACAAATACCGAAGTAAATATCGGAGGATATGTGTAAGAAGGGAATTCAGATATGATAGTTGTTAGAGACGTATGGCAGAGCAGTAGAAACTGTCCTGACCCTCTATAGGGATAAGGTCAAGAAAATGATCAACAATGATCTTTGTATTTGATAAATTATTGAATTAAATATGAATACAGTAAAGATTTACCCATGCGTCTTTAGCTCTTCTAACAAATTCCTTAGCTTCAGGTTCGGCTGGATGGTTGCACAAAACAGAGCAGCCGTGCGGGAAGGGATTGTACAGGCCGGCGAATGGTCGCAAGATGAACGGCGCAGGGCTCACCTCACACCGAAGCTCTATCGCACTCTGTAATCATATCTTAATATTGTTAAACTCCAAGGAGGCTAACGATCCTTATGAATTCAAATATTAATGGCTTGATTTCAAAAGTTATTCATCATTAAATGCTACGTTATTCCTGGTTAAACAGTTGTTTAAATTAACTTTTCTACAGCATCAATAATTATGTAACTTCTTTAATAATTAAAAGCCAAACAAAATTAAATGCATTAGTTAGATGTTGGTATTATATTGAGTCCTAATTTATTACAAAGAAATCGATATCTATCTGCGAAGTGATACATCACTAAAATTAATCAGAACACGTGTGCGACGCTCGTCATAAAATTGTCATTTAATGAACCCAATTGAACGCGATATTAACTTGCAGTGGAGAGAAAAATTTGTATCATATCTATTTTCTACGATATTCCGCAACTTAGTAAAAGTAGATACTTTCTCCGAGCTTACAAGGATATATGGAAGACCCCGAAGTTGCGATCCAGCGAAAAACGTTAATTTTTTGACTATTATACTCACCTTTGTCTTCACCAGTGCTGGTTTTTGTGGAGCGCTTGATAACAAACCTGTGTTGCTTGTTAATCTCATTTTACAATCTTTCCTTTTAATTATAACTTTTACTCGTTACTACCATCAAACATGTCTGTGTATTGATCAATCAAAAACTAAGAGTCAAGGAACACCGACGAAAAGTACGTTCAACAACCGTATTTTATATAAAAAAAAAACTATATTTCGTACGTTTAGGAAAAATAGGTAATTGTAAAAAACTTCATGTGCATTATCATTTATTTCTAATAGCCTAACATCTGTATAAAATAGTGTTCTCTCTGTTTTATCAAACAGTATGAGAAGGACAAAACATTTACGTGCAAGTTTTAACATCGGAAACTCAGGGGAAGTAGAGAAGTAAATAGTAGTTATTTTGCTTTAGCTTTATATACTAGTTGTGGCTCGCGACTTCGTTAGCGTAAAATTAAATTTATAGAAATCGACGTAGTAGTTTTTGAGTTATTCCAATACATACAAATCTTTCCTCATTATAATATTAGTATAGAGTATAGACTACTCCATTTAGATGTTAATAAGTCTAGTAAGAGGCTATAGTATTTCATTTTCCAAATTCATGGTTTTCAGGTTAGGTGTAACTAAAAGTCAAAAGAGTTTTTCACATATATTATTCAAAAAAATTTACACAAAAGCACTAAGACATCCATTTAACCTTATTGTCTAAATAAATGAAGTTTTAAATCGACACTCAACCTCTTAATTAAAAGATATAATTTGTCTCTAAAAATAATACTCATTTCTCTTCTCGTATCGGAAAGTTATGGCATTATCAAAGTAACACCTACCAAGCGACATCGTGAAATATATTTATAATCTAGAATATTCTATATTATCTTTTCAAATCTAACAGGGCTCTATTTGTTACGAGTGAAACTATAATACAAGTTACAGTGCAATACAATAATTTGAATTGAAGTGTACATTTTGTGAAAATTACTAGAATTTAAAAGATTTCATATATAGCATAACTAAGAATATAAAAACCCTTGGCCTGGGGACAACGGGAAAAACATTAGATTACTTTTTAATGCACGCTAAAAATGGTTGCATATTTTGCAATATGGGTTTTTATATTTCTGGTTAGGCTATATACCTCGAATACCTTAGCAGAGCAAAACAAGAGTTTTCACTTCTAGCTAAAATCGTCATATGATTTCCCTCGATTTTTTGTGTCTAAAAAATATTAAATTATTCATTAGGGTTGCCAACATTTCGATGAGTCTGGTTATTAAAATGCATTATTCATTTTCTAGAAATAAATAAATAGTGCATTTTAAAAATGTAATTTAATATCACTTGCAATAGATTGATGTTCTAGAATTGCATTTCATGAACATATTTTCTATCATAATGTTGGCAACACTTACAAATTACAGACATATTAGATAAACATTTTTAATAAAGAATTGTACTACCATAGTACTCTTAATATAATCAAATATTTTATAACAACCATGTATATGTTAAGTTACTATGTGACATAATTATTGCTGTTAAAATTATTACATTATCTTGATAAGAAATCATATCATAGCAACAGATAATCTGTTATACTTTATTAAAATAAAACAGCTATTAAATATACTGCTATGTTTAGACAATTGTTAAAAAATACATATAGCCAAAATCGATGTTATATAAGCTATATTACAAATATCATTAACAAATAAACATTAAAAACCATTATCTTTTTCAGACAATAGTTAAGACACAATGACTTGAATTATTGCTTTATAAAATCAAATTACAACATTTGATTATCAAAATTATATCTTTTATTGAATACATTATAACATAATGATAAATTTAAAAGATAAATTAAGTATAGAGGTTTTAGACCTCGAAATTTTTTACATTAAGTAATCTCAGAATTGGCCAAATTGATAAGGCAAGGAGTTGAGTAAGGCAAGTCACTGACACACTGGGTTAAAGTTTATTCTAATCTCAGACTACTTAACATACAGAGACTTTGTCACATGTTAATTATATCCATATTGGTGTATACAAAATACCTTTAAGAAGCCACTGAGCTTGTGTACGGAACACAACTATTGGTTTTAAATCGCAATCAGATCAAATACTTTTGAGAATTTTGATACATTACAAAAATGCTCATTTGAAAGTGAAACAAATTTGCAAGCATGACTAGCTATGAGGTCATCTGTATTTATTAGTCCGAGTTACTAATATTATGTTTTTAATGTCATGAATCAATGCAAGTAGATACATTAACTAAATTGTTGAAATTTGAAACATAAAAAATTACCAGCACCCTTATTCTGAAATATGTAAATTCAAACAATAATTTAGACTAAATTACTGATGAAAACTGAGTGACCGATTTTTTCATTACTCACAAATAATCTTTTATTATGACTAGGAGTTAAGAAATAAATTTGAGCATGGAAAATAAGCAAACTACATACCATGCAGCTATAAAAATATTATAAAACTTAAATAAGTTATAAATATAAATTACAGGTAGTGGTCACACACAAAAAACCTCTGTTCTTTTTTCAATATCCGTAACACTAGATTGTGAACACTTTCAAATATATTACAAATGCTTTTGTAACTGATTTTGATCACTGTCACTTGACGCGTGTCCTTACCGTCACTCCACAAGCACAATGACGTCGTCGGCGGGCACCGGGGCGGGGCGCGGGGAAGGGCGCGTGGCGGCGCACTACGGGCGCGAGGCGCGCGCCGCCTCCTCCAACGCGCGCACCTTGAGCTCGCGCTCGCGCTGCTGGCGCAGGAAGTCCTCGTGGTGCGCGGGGTGCAGGAAGCCACGCTCTCGCTCCAGCAACAGCTGTCGCTGCAGCTGCTCGTGCGCCGCCGCCTGCTGTGCTAGTTGCTCCGCGTACGGCCGCCCCAGCAGGTCCGGGTGGGGTAGCGGCCGGTACGGCGCCCCCGCGCCCAGCCCCAGGCTCAGAGCATCCTGCTGTGCCTGTGCAGCCGCCTGTTGGCCAGGATGGAGATGGAGGTGAGTATGTGAATGCGCGTGTGTGTGCGCGTGAGTGTGCGCGTGGTATTCAGGGTTGATGCCCGCCATTTGTAGTCGCACCATTGGATCCGCGGCCAGGGCTAGCCTCTCCGCCGCCTCCAGTTGCGCGGCCGCGACGCCGGGGTGCGGATGGTGCGGGTGATGCGGCGGCGCTCCAGACACGGGCACGCTGGGCGGCGGCCCGCCGGCGCCGCCTGGCGGGATGCCCAGACGTTCCAGCCGCTCCCGCTCCAAGTGAGACAGAGAAGCCGGTCCGTGTCCAGGGGGATAAAGCCCGAATTGTACGGGTATCGCACCTTGGGGAGGAGGTGGGGGCATACCATATCTTCTGTGCATTTCCAACCAGTGTGGATCGAGACCTCGCGGACCAACATTATTTTTAAGAAGTTCCTCTTTTAATCTATCGTTTAGCTCGCGCTCCCGCAGTTCCCTTATTTCTCTATCTCTTTTCTCCCTTTCAAGGTGTTCCAATTCTAGGCGTTCCCTGGCACCAGCGGCGCCATACATTGAACTGAGCTGATATTGAAGCATAGGGTCCATACAATGTCGAGGTAAATTGCCGGGACTAAACCCTGCATGTGGTCGTGCATATTCCGATAATTGCCGTAGAGCAGGGGTGTCAGGATATCCCGGTGGTCTAGGAAACCTATCATACGGAGACGTTATAGTTTCAATAGCACCCCTTGACGGCGGCTTTGTTTCTGGTTTTTCTGGAGTGGCTATTTTCCTATGCGCTTGTTGGGCAATCTTCTCTCTTTCCTCTCTATCTCGCTCGGCTTGTTTTCGCAATCGTTCTTCGCGTTTTCGTGCAAGTTTTGATTCTGGAACAGGCTTGAATATGAGGTCAGTTCGCGTACACGAATTATAATCGCCTCTATTCCAATGTCTTAAGAATATTGCCGACTGTGATCTATGGCACTCTGTATCTTCGATTTTCGGTTCGGGGCTTGGTCCATGAGGAATGTGCGCCGGACTTGGAATTTCTTCTTCTTCGGGCTGTGACTGAGTCTCAAGTTTCAATTCAACATTTTCGTCGGGCATAGGTCGCTGAGGGCCTCGCATATGCGGATGACCGTGAGGAATTTGATGTGGTGAACCGGATCTTGCATGTGATGCTTGTAAGCCAGCTGCAGCTTGGGCGTGTAAACGTAAACTCTCAATAGAACTCGGTCCCGGCCCCGGCGGTAATCCTAATGCCATCGGATGACCCATCGATGGAGGTTGAATCATAAGGTGATTTGGATTCCCAGGTAACATTTTTGGATGATGGCGTAGTAGCATTGAATCTGCCGGTGATAACCTTTCTGGGTGATGGGCAAGATGGTGTGAGTGATGATGGGTATGATTATTAGATACATTAACACTGGATGATGTGCTGGTACTTTGAGATACACTAGCTGACAAGTGATGCGGAGAACTAGAATGTGAACTAGATTTTTGTTGCGTATTTATTTTGTGTTGAATAGACTGAGACGAACTGCTTGACGTTGAGTGAGAAATAGATAATGTATGATTTGTGCCACCACCAACGTGATTTGGCTGTTTTTCGGTACTCGTATGAACAGCGCTATGATGACTTGTCGAATGGTGGTGCGTCATAGTAGTTTCGTGCAACTGATGCCTTTCCGTTGTCGCATTGGGATTTCTGGGGTCTTCGGTACTCTCAGAAATCTCTCTTAGTGATCTTGTTGTAACCGATGAACTTGTGCTATGATGAGCACTTAGCATTGTCGTCGACTCTATTGTAGATTGCTTTCCTTGATCATGCCTGCCTGGCGTACTTGAAGCAGGATGCATTGGTGGTATTGGATGGGGTTGTGGTAATGGTCCATATGGATATGGGTAAGGCATAGAATAGCCAGGATGCGGATGAGTATAATAAGGATGCATAGCATGCGCAGCAGCTGCAGCTGACAATTGAAAAATAGAAGAAGGGTGTAATAGTGGATGATGGGGATGATGTAACGGGGAAGCAAATGGATGGGATGGATGTGGTCCATGTTGTTGTCCGGAATGCATTACTGGGCCAGGTATAGTAGATGGTATTGACAATGGTGAGGGATTCATTAAATTGAGTGCAGAATGAGATACAGGTATGTTTGGTTGAACTGGGGAAGCAGAAATTTGTCTGGGCTGTGATGGACTTGTTAAATGCCTCGAGAAAGGGGATGTTGTTGCAGATGGATGTGGCCCATGGCTAGAAGCACTCATGTGAGATGGTTGACTTTTTATTGGTGTTGGAGTATGAGGACTTTTCACTGGAGGTATAGTGTGCATAGACTCAGACACATTTACTTGGTTAGATGATACTGGAGTTATATGAGGTTGATGCATGAAGTCCGGTTCCTTTTTAATGCTTTCTATTCTTGGCCCCAGGAATGCACTTGACATATTAGTATTTTCATTTGTAGGTTGGCTTGGAGGTCTACTATTATTTTCAACACTTGACATTGATTCTCTATCTCTTTCAGAGCTTAAATGTTGTGCTATAGCACTACCAATTGGATATCCTGGTACTTTTACTTCTTTCAAAGATTGTAGTGGATCTGACATATTTTGAGTTGAAAGGTTTGCTGGCATATCTGGTAACTCTTGCTTAATTTTTAAATCTTGAGGCATTGATGAATCATTTTGATTTGAAGATGGAGGCATCAAATTGGTAGCTTGAAGATTATGACTTTGAGGTACTTGTTGCATTATTTGTGGTATAGAGTTTGGTTTATCCAAGCCAGGATGCCCAGGGTGTCCATACAATGGTGAAGGCATGAAACCATATGGTCCAACATTTGAACCACTTCCCACAGATATTAATGGTCCTGGAGGCATTAAGCCAGTAATAGATGACTGGCTGTGGGGTGGAGGAAGCATACTCTGTACAGACCCAGGGGTATTTGATGTTTCAGTTGATCTAATTCCAAGGTTTTCAGGCCTTACAGGTGTTGGGAACATGGGTGGTCTCAAGCCTGTATTCTGAATATCTTGTTTTTGTTGTATTGGCTGTGTCTTTAAATCAGTTGGTTGTTTCTCTTCAATATCTGTTTCATGTGATTTAATCTCTTGTGAGTGAGCAGGTGACACAGGTTCATTGCTAGCAGTAGTTGAGTGTTCAAGGTGGGCTGGAGAAGGTGGACCTCTAGCATTTGTAGGGGATGGACTTATTCTTTGTAAGTTTTCTAGCCTTGGTGTGCTTGGTGAGTCCATTTTGTTTCCAGTTGAAATAGTAGCAGTAAAAATCTCAGGTGTATTTTGGCTTTTCATTTCATTGGTATCATCTCTCGGCTCCAACTTGATAACTGTTTTCAATGGATTCATAAGTGAATGTTGTTTATTATGTTCACTGGGAAAATTCATATTAGGATATGAAAAGGGTGGCATCCCACCAACAAAATCTTTTGCATTTCTGATTATTGAATTTTCTTTAGAGATATTAACTGGATTGAATATGTTATTTGGCACTCCTTCAATTTTGATACTGTGACTAAGTTTAGGATTATAAATATGACTGTCTTTAACAAAGAAATTGGTGTTTTCTAAATTCAAAGGCTTGTTCTGTTGATTAATTGGGTGGCCCGTAAAACTGTGTGACAATGGGTCCTTCTGAAATTCATCTTTTTGTAAATTAATTGTTTGGTCATCAATATCAATTTCTTCTTTAATCTTGATTTTCTCCAAAACTTCTGTAGACATTGGAGTAACTTTAGGAATAATAAGCTCAGTTTTGGGAAAGATTGTATGAGGTCGGGGTTCAACATTTTCTATACTCTTGGGGCAATTCGGTTCAGTTTTCAAATCAAGTACATTTCTATCATCCTTTTCAGGTATCACTTTAAATACAGGAGGTAAAGGATCCTTTTCAACTCTACTTGGAAGCTCATTGACCAAATCCGATTTACTGGTTTCTGTCCCTTTTTCCAATTCTGTTTCTTTATTTTGTTCAGGATTTTCTTTCTCAGATTTATTGAAGCTAAAGTCACATGCTTCAGGTTCTGGTTCTACAGTTTCGGTTTCATCCATTGCAGAAAAACTATCATTTGTCAGACTTTCTGATGGGCTCTCAGGAGGATCACTGGCCTTCTTCTTTTTCATTTGTACATCACCATCCAAAATCTCTGGTTTAGTGTCATCTGGCAATCTTTTCTTAACCTTAGACACATCAACTTTCCCATTAGTGACTTTCTTTTTGTTATCTTTATCTTTGCTAACTGGCGAAGATAAAACTTTTTCTGTTATATTATTATTTGTACTTTGTGCATTAGGTTTACTAGGTTTCTTAGACTTAGTATCAGTATCACTTTCATCTTGTCCTTTTCTTCCATTAGGTGTTGTTTGTTCTTTAGATTTGTTTCTTGTGCGCATTCTACTTGGTGAATCTTCTGGGTTGTCTCCAGTTCTGCCATTGTCAACTTTAGCCAAATCACCTGCTTCTCTTGAGTCACTATCTTCCTCAGAATTTTCATCTTCTGTTACAGAACTCATTTCCCCAGCTTCCTTAGGGTTAGGGGAAGGCCTTGACCCATTAGTATCAGGTACAGGTGTTATTTCCGGTGTTTGTTCTTTAGGTGTTCCTGCTCTAGAATTCCTTGTATTACGAACACGCCTCAATGATGCTTGTCTCCGCCTTCTATGAGGTCTGTTACTACTAGCACCAGGGGTCTTTTTCCATAGGTAATAAAATTCCACCAGCTCAGCAGTGTCTTTGTGGGGTAGTAAGTCTTTTTTAATTTTAAAAAAATTCTTACCAAACTGACGGATACCTTTGACAAATCTTTTTGTCTCCTCCTCTGTCCACTTCTTCTCTATGCCTTTTGGGACAGGGCACTTGACTAAGGCCTGAAGAGCTCGTCCTGGATCGTAACCCGAATCATGGAGTACATCTAGTGCATTAATTGTGGTGTCATCACGGCTAGCAGCTACACACCCGTCGTCGGGAGAACCACCATCACACATTCCAGCAAATGCAGCCATTGATCGTGCAGCTCGTAAGTACATAACAAGATCTCGATCTGTCGCTTGCGCTGGGAGCCAACGTAATTCTTCCCCACCTGGACACGCTTCGTCAGGTCCTAATGGACCGTTCACTCTTATATCAGGCAAACAAGCATAAATATCTTTGTCTTTGACGGGTTGATTCGGTGTGCCCACTTGAACCTCCCCCTGATTTTGGGCCATGGTAATGAAATGGGCTATTTACACTGGCCAATATTTTTTCACTCACATATCACAAACAATTTGATCGCTTACATTATGTCAAGTATCAATTTTGAACGAACGTGTTACAGTCTCGTTTTAGATGTGTTTTTATGGTCCGTAAAGAAGTAAGTATGCCAATATACATAATTATTACTCCTAATGGCCACCATTACACGATGCATTGTGGTTCATTCTTATAACTTGTAGTATTCACACATATCACATATTTAAATTTCACTTATTTTTAACACATACATAGATCTAATAAGTCGGTTATTAAGTATATTTTATTTATTTATAATTTAATAAACGCTATCTACATGCTACCCTTTTGTTTAGCTTCACCTTTCTTTGGCTCTTTCCATAGACAACTTCGATTCTATAAAATGGCTGCCACGAGACCATTTGTGATCTGTTTCTCAACTCAAGTTGTTATTAAAATAACAAAAGAACTTTTCATTAGAACACGACTTTAAATTTATTAATATTTGAAGTGAAAAATACACTCATGAACGATTTATGTGACATGGCCATCTAACTGGATTTCAAAATGACCATAAAAAGCAACTTTCAGATTATCAAATAAAAAATCATTATTACTTTACTTTACCAGTTAAAATAACACAATATATTTTGTTCATAATTTTACAAATTGTAGAACTGATATACGAACAAAACAGATAAATACTTTTTATCTTCAGTTTATGGTTTTTTAACTCTTAATCAGTTTACAGCTGGCAATACATATATGTCAACTTTTTGTCAACAATCAACCAATAAACAATGACAATTTCAACGTTTAACAAACAATTATAAGGAATCAAATAACTTGTGATTAAATTGTTGAATCAATTCTATTTAACAAGTTTCTTTATAAAGTTTTAGTAATATAGACCATTTCCGGAAGTTTTTACAATAGCAAAATGGTATCCGATGACTCCGATGATGAGCCCCTGTCAATTTTAGCTGCAGAGAAAAGATTACACCCAGAAAAATTCCCAGAACCCGAACATGAAGGCGCAAGTACCAGCATCGTTCCCAAAAAGAGACAGAGAAAATCACTGACGCCAAAAAAACTGGGAATCACAATTAAAATAAGAAAACAAAGGACATTTCCACTTCCTCCTGTGATAGAAAGACCAGCTGATGTTTGGCTCTATCTTAAAGACTTGAATCCTGCTGGTCCTTACAGCTGTTTACTATGTCCTGATTGGTTTATAAATCGATCAAAAATGATCATGCATTATGTGTTAAATCACAAAAAAGATTTTTGTGGTATTTGTAGGTAAGATGTTTGTTTATAGTATAAAACATGAATGTCAATACTTAAATTGACAAGAATTAATTTTGACATCACACATAAAATTATCTTTCAAAGATGCAAAATGCCAAGCCAGTAACGTAAGTGTATTTATTTTCACATATCTTGTGACCTAAGGTCACACTGTTCAGCCCATCAGAGTAATCACAGCTACACCCAGAATATGCATACTTGTGTGATATTTAAACCCACCAAGATATTTGACAACTCTACAAAGTATTTGTGTAAACATTTATCACTTTATTCCAGATATTTTGTACCAAACAGGGAGTTGTGGCATGAACATGTAAAATTTCATACACCTTGGCCGTGCTCCCAATGCATCGCAAACTTTCCCAACCAAGTTACATTACGCCATCATCTAAGCAGCGCTCACAAATTAGTACACTGTCGCTTATGTCACTTCCGTCTCCCTGACGATGACCAATACAATTGTCATCTGTTCCAAAAACACAGTGTTATAAATGTACTTAGTAAAGATGAAGAAGTGCTCTGGGATTTTGACTATGATGGTACTACGAAATTTTTATGTTTACTCTGTTCGAAGGGCAATAATCTAAGTTCTATGTTTTTCAAGCATTACATGGGTTACCATCATTTTACTATCAAGTGTTTAACCAGTTTACTTTCTGGTAGAGATTCACCGTTCACTGTTAATGGTGCTGATGTAAGTGCTCACTTTATTGATGGACAATTGCAAGGGCAAATTCGTTACGGTTATGTTGATTTGGATAAAATATCTTTCAATGGAATTCAATTAGATGAACAAAATAACGAGAAATATAAATACTTAAAAGCAGAAGTAAAACATGAAGATGCTACAGATGGTGAAGTAAGACAGAGTAGTAATAAAGAAACTAAAACTGAAGACGTAAATCAGAATTATAAAGGAGATGAAGATTTTGATGTAACTCATACAGAACTTTTAGTTTTAGAGAAGAGTTTTTTTGATTATGTAAAACGTACACTACATGATATAAATAATAATCAAATGCCTTTAAATTCTTTGATACAATATGAAGATGGTAAATCTGATATAACAAAGGAAATAGAATGTCCATTATGCAAATCGAAGTATGAAAATGTTCAAGCATTTTCATTGCATATGAATAAAATGCATTGCATTAAGTTCATCCCATCATATTCATGCAGAGTTTGTGCGACCACATTTGATACACTTAGTGAGCTAGAAACTCACACAGCTCTTGAAATGGAGAACTTCGAAGATCTTTGGATCTGTCAGTTTTGTGACAAAGAGTTTGACAACCGAGATGCGACAAGAAAGCATTTAACGGAGCACTGGCAGGTTATGGAATATGACAATTGTTTCAGCCCACACTTGGGTTTTAAATGCAGATTTTGTCCGATGCTGTTTTGGAACGAAACGGACCGTGAAGAACACCAAGTTAGAGAACATTTAGAGAAATATCGGGATCAGTTTTATAAATGTATTAACTGTTTAGAACTGTTCAGTGAAAAAGTGAGTATAATGTGATTAATTTTTAATAGGTAATTAAAAAAATCATAGAGCTGTTTTGTTTGGGTTTTTTTACAAGGTGGCTAACAAGCAAGCGGTTACCTAGTCTGGAACCTTTAACTGGAACAGCAAATTGATCACTGACCATTTATCTCCTTCATTGCAGTAATGTGTTCAAAATATTTTACAACTATGTAATTTCAGGTGTGGTTTATACATCATCATTTGGAGAAACACTCTGCTGATAAAATGGAAACATATCTAATAAAGTGCTGTTTATGCTGCATTGTCTTACCAAGCATTGAGGAGATGAGGAACCATTTCACTGAAGACCATCCGGAGGCTCGGAAAGTGTACTGTTCATTGGGTTCATGTCAATACAAACCTTTGAGTCATAGGAAGTCATTTAAACTGCATGTTAAGGTAAGTTATTAAAATATACTTATGTATAATTTAAGTTAGTACCAGTTTTGGACGTTTTAGCACCCTCGGCGAGATTTCTATTGCATCCTTTTTTATTAGGTTTTGGTGGGTAAACATTTGTATATACGGTCATACAACCACTCACAAAGCAAGCGTTTATTTAGCAAATTTTGCACCGGATTTATACTCTTCATTGATCAATTTAAATACTTATTAGCTATCTAGTAGTTAATCTCTAATGGTGTGAAAAAATATTTAAAAATAGTTCAGTAGTTTTAGAGTTTATTTTATAAAAACATTAAAAACGAAACATGCCTATTTTATTTTAGTACACTTAACCTGTAAATACTTGATTTTTTTTCAAAATACCCTAAATTGAAATGGGTAGTAAATTGAACATAGACCAAGAGAAAAATAAAGACATTTTTTTTTTAAATCTATTAGTTGTGTAAGAGAAGACTGATGTATAAATACATCATAATGCATTTAAGGTATAATAGGAGGTCGTAAAATTTTTGTCAACAAGAAGCAATTACTTTGTGATAAAGTCTTTAACACAAGATATAGGACAGAAGATGAACAAAGAATAAAGAATCTATTATATTAGAAGACATTGGTTTTAATTTCCATGTTAGGCGATCCACAGTCCGTGCGCGCGGGCGGAGCGCGACGTGAAGTGCGCGGTGTGCGGGCGCGAGTTCGCGAGCGCGCGGGCGTGCGGCGCGCACGTGGCGCAGGTGCACGGCCCCGGCAAGTTCAAGTGCAAGCTGTGCCGCGACACGCTGCACACCACTGACGAGAGGTACAGACACTAGTAATACTCACATATATACTCACATCGCGCATCGATGGCATCATCGAAGAAGCAGGCTAGAATAGGCGCTGGAGTGGATGCCCGATGGCGATGGTGTTCATGTTTCGTCATGCCCATTAGGGGGAGAGTGACTCAACACTAAGGAACGGACGAAATAACTTGTAGGGCGTCAAGAAGGTGCGTGCGAACCCGAAACCGGCCAAACCGCGCGCCCCTCCCGAGATTCGGCCCGTATGACCCGAGGGTAGGTGGGGCCATGGGTGGTGGTGGGCTATCGTAAATTTACTCACATATGGGGTAAACCACCCAATTGTTGACCATTTTACACATATATCTATACTAATGTTATAAAGAGGAAACAATTGTATTTGTATTTATTGCAAAAGATTGCAAAAGATTTGTATTTTTGGATTTTTGTATGTAAATAACTCAAAAACTACTGGGTCAATTTCAGAAATTCTTTCACTATTAAAAAGCTATGTTATGTGTGAGTAACATAAGTTAAGTCTTTTTATTATTTTAAAATTTTACGCGGGCGAAGTCGCGAGCAACAGGTAGCGTATACTCATTAGTATAGTAGTATTACCTTAGGATTACGTTTATTAGAGCGTGAAGACTTTTCTTTATTTGTTGGCTATCACAGTATTTATTATTTAATTGATTTTGTTAATATTGACAAAAAACGCGAGAAAGGGATAAAAAGTGCAAATCAATATGCAGTACCAATACACAATACAGCAAAGAAGCAAAATTGCCATGATAACGGTGATTGTTAGCCATTGGCAAATTTAGTCATTTGAATTTTACAACTAGCAATTAAAATTTTACAAATGTAAACAATAAGATAAAGCTTTTATAATTTCATACAGATGAAGTCTTGAACGGTAAGTAAAATACAAGTGTTTCAATGTATATATTGCAGGAAGCTTCACTACCTACTACGTCATCCTGGACGCCACCCGTACGAGTGCGCGGACTGCGGCAAGTCGTTTCAGTACAAGTCCTCGTTGTACATGCACCGACAGGACCATATACCTAACAAGCAGACGTACACATGTAGTTACTGCTCGAAAGTTTTCATGGTGAGTTCAATAATTAACAAAAACAAAGAACAAAATAATTTTTGTTGATGTACACTGACTTCTATAAATGGATAGGCTATTTGGTGCTGATGGTTTGAGGACGTTTTTTTCAACTGGTAATAGATATAGACTTAACTGTGATTAACATCAAAAGCGCGTTTTGTCGAAACCAAAGATGTAATTTTAAAAATCGCCTATCTGTCTATATTTATCTATAGTAATATACTTGAGATGTGTTATTCCAGACTATCCTCTACAATGCCAAATTTTGAGATACATTCAGCAGTTTAAGCTTTAACGTTCATCTATCTAAAAATTCTTATTTATATTATTAGGATTTATTTACATTTTGTTTGTAATTTTCGATATTACGCGTAGAAAAAGGATTCGTTCCGCGAGCACGTGCAGATCCACGAGGGTCCGCGACACGCGTGCTCGTACTGCCCCATGCGCTTCGTGCAGCGCTCCAACATGCTGCGCCACGAGCGCAGGCACACCGGCGAGCGCCCCTACGCCTGCCCGCACTGCGCGCGCACCTTCGCCGACAAGGGCGCCTGCAACTCGCACGTCAGGTAATACTCTGTGCAACTGCACTGCGCGCGCACCTTCGCCGACAAGGGCGCCTGCAACTCGCACGTCAGGTAATTTTAACTTAAGTTTTGGGTTTCATAGGATTCTTGATCCTGTTTACTAGATTATTTATTTCTTATTTATTTATTTATTCATTTAATTTATTTACAGAACACATTCCAAAGAAACATCATTCGCGTGCCTCTACTGCGGTCAGACATTTGTACAAAAGTCCAAACTAACCTATCATATAAGAAAACATACGGGAGAGAGTAAGTTATCAAATTACACTATTTATTTAAATCGATTACTCTATTAAATATATATTTAGCCACAATTTTGCGATCTACACCTTATTTTATGTTTTTTTTCACTTTATGAATAATTTCTGTGTAAATTTAAGTGACGTCATAAAAAACTGTAGAATTTGGTTGTCTATGGTATGTTTCTTTTAACGGTTTAATTTTCGTTACAAACGTACCAAAGTTTACTTAGGAGTGTTCGAAATATAGACAATTGTATTTTTTCATTTCAGATCTGGAAACATGTCCTGTTTGTTCCAAATTATTTACCAGCGGATGCTCGTTACGTGAACATATGAAGATACATGTGGCCAAGAAATATTTAATTAAATGTCCAATGTGTGGTAAGACCTATATTGATTTTGTATATTTAAATGTACTGGAATATTTACAAATTTAATTTTTTGCTTGTCATTATAATTATACTAACTTTCTCCCGATATTCCTCCGCGTGAAATTGAAATAACAAAAGTAAGCAGCCTATGTGTTCTTCCAGACTGCGCTCTATATTTATACCCAATTACACGGAGATCCGTTCAGCAGTTTAGACTACTCTAACAAACATCCATCCATCTAAACATCATAGTAAGAAAAACTTGATTATTGTTTGCTGTGCGATGGGTATCAAATTAATATCCCTGATTATGTCTGTTAGATAAAAAGTACCAGGACGAGCGGTACATGCTGCGACACCTACGCACGCGGCACGCGGGGGCGCAGCACGCCTGCCCGCTCTGCCACAAGCTGCTCACCAGCGCGCCCGGCCTGCGCCGCCATCTGCTCACACACAGCGCGCTGGACATCTTCCACGTGAGACAACATCATAACTATCGTCATTATAACCATCATCATCATCATCGTTATAACCATTATCATCATCATCATAACCACCACCACCATAATCATCAAAGCCATTATCATCATCATAACCACCATCATAATCATAATCACCATCATCATCATAACCACCATCATCATCATAACCACAATCATTATCATAACCTCCATCATCATCATAACCACCATCCTCATCATAACTACCATCATCATCATAACCACCATTATCATCATAACTACCATCATCATCATACCCACCATCATCATCATAACCACCATTATCATCATAACTACCATCATCATCATACCCACCATCATCATCATCGTTATAACCATTATCATCATCATCATACCCACCATCATCATCATTACCATTATCATCATAACTATCACTTCACTATGCGTCCCCACTAAGGCACTCGGAACTTATAATGCATGGTTCACACTTGAGCAGTTGGACACTAGTCAGATTAAAAAAATGTATAGAGAAAGCACATTTGACACTTCGTTTGAGACATTTTACACGCCATTTTATCGGTTATTTCATTGTATCGTTCGGGTAAAAATATTATTTTCGAAAATTCAAAACCACATTGGTATATGAGTTCGAACCCAAGACCTGTAGATTCCAAGTCTAGTGTTTAACCCCTGAGCCACCGAACTTCATCTATTTCTGTTATGGCTTTACAGTTATTTGCTAATAATTCATCCTAATATTGAAACATCCATCTATCTTAACGCTGACGTTTATAAGAGGTGATTTTCAAAGAAACGAAATTGTTAAGAGATCAGTATTGAGCCTTTCATATCTATACAATCAATCCACCCAAGGTGAAGAAATTCCCAATATCGATCGATTGAACCAACAGAAAACACCCTATAGTAATTTTTATATCTGTTTCTAGTGCAAATGTTGTCCAAAATCCTACGCGATTCAGAGAACTATGATAAAACATCTACGCAGGCGCCACGGACTGAACGGCACTGAGATTAATATTAAAGATTTCTTTAGAAGACTGGACCCTAGAGAGTGTCAACTGGGATTAGACGAAGAAACCATGGTCAATATATTCGGACCACCCAAGAAGGTTACATCAGTCTTAGGAGCGGATTTCGTGAATTTAGCTAATCTTTATAAGAAAGATGATGGAGGGAAAGAAGAACAAACAGACGATGATGATTCAGATGAAGCATCTTTACAAACACTTAGAAAGGAATATATGAATCGTGAAGGAGAAAGTAACAGAACGTTAGAGAATGTTACAATTAAACTGGAAACTATAACAACTGATGTATTGGAGCCAACTGATTTTGTCAGTGTTAAAATTGAACCATACGATGAAAACGAACATCAATAGAAAATGTTCAATTTAATACATTTTAAACCCACTCTTATAGTTTGTCTAAATAAGATTAGTTTGATAAATGACGCATATAAAGTATCGAATTCAATTTGTATGAAGTCAAATGCCGTACTTAATAGACAGGTATCGTAGTGACGAAACAAACACGCAGCGAACAATTATGAACTATCGATATTCGGTTTAAATAATTATCGAACTCAACTAAAGTTATTATTTTCTTATTAACTAATTTAGAGGATAATTCTATTATTGATTATAGTGTAGAGAATTTAGCGATGACAGAAATAATAGCGAAATCCAATTAGATTGTGTACGGCTGTAGTAGTAATAAACATTTATTTACTCTCATTTTCTGTTGTGGTCATTATTAATTTGAGAAAACAGTGTTTTTTTTTTATTTTATAAGTTATGACTATAAATCTATCGATTCCAACTTCTATATTATATGAATAAAAATCGAAAATCGGTAAGATTCATGACTAATTTTACACAACCCATCCCTACTAAATTTGAAGTGATTTGTCAAACTAATCTAACATAGAAATCATTGAATATTAATGTAGTAAAATATATGAAAGTCGTAATTATCTATGATAAATGTTAGTTGTAAGATTAACATTTCACATTATTTTAATTGAATTAAGTATCTTTAAAACAATGTTTTCTTTTTCGATATTTATCTTGGTGTTATATTGTTATTATTTTAGGGAATGAGTTAATGGTCAAGTAGTGAAAGAAAATGTAACTCAAATCATAAGACACCAAAAACCTCTGTATCAATGTGTTGTTGAATGTTTCATAATCTTAACTGTGGTTTAGGTTAGGACGTTTTTTGTAATATCCTGTTTGTTTTTGTAACGAGATCATGGTCAGTTTAGTAAAATTAAAATATGATAGTAAATGTAAGTGTTTTCTTCTGCTCCTCTTATCCCTACTTTGAATCGATTATTGGAACCTTTATCATAAAAAAGAACGATATATAAAATTACAAAAAATACCTCAGATAAATAAATTGGTTTACGAACGAAACTCCAAACTCGCGAATTTATGAACAGCTGAGTAACGCCATTGTCATTTTGACAGTAAAGTTTTAGACTTTGAACTTTTAAAAAAGTTAGTTTTGTACATATTTTAACTTAAGATTATATTTATAATTAATGTAACTGAAATATGTGTACATAAAAGATATTAGACCAGTTACAAGACCAATTATCATAAGAATTTAGTCATGTATAAACCCGCTAGTACAGTGCGACGTATCGATGTTCTTATTCGTATTTTAGGAGGTCATAAAAAGTTTATACAAGTGAATAATGTTAGGGCATATTCTAGTGAAGGTAAAGTGACTATTGGAGATGTTACCAAAGATGTGACAACGCCAAAAAAGATTGAATATGTGCCGCGAAAATACAGTAAGTGTCTACAACTTTGGTTAAACAAATATTCATTAGAAAAGTCCTTTAAAAGTATAAAGAAGAGTTTCTCGTGGTAATCATGACTTATTTTAATTACTTATTCTGTTTTCAGTATCTGTAGAGGGTTCGGAATTAAAGTATCTGTCTCAAAGTACACTTAGAAATTTAAGATGGATGATGCAAAAAGATTCGCTTGGTCAAGACATGTTTCTGCTTGGAAGACCAGGTCCCAGCAGGTGAGGATGAATATAGACCTTTACGTAACTAATTTGCATAAAGCTTGAATGATGTAGTTAATTATTTGTTTTCAAAAGTACTAGTGTCAATTTCAAATTTCAAAAACCATAGATTATATTTTGAATTCATAAAAACAATTATGGAACATTAGTGTTTATTTTAGTAATTGTACAGTATTTTCTATTCAGCAATGTTTTTTTTTTCATGTGATATTAACTTTTAGGAGGAAAGTAGCATTGCAATATTTAGAGTTGACACAAAGAGAGTTGGAATATGTTGCTCTGTCTCGTGACACTACAGAAGCTGACCTAAAGCAGAGAAGAGAGATTCAAAATTCTACCGCCAAGTATTTTGATCAGGTACATTATCTATACTATACTAGCTTCCGCCCATGACCCTGTCTGAGTGAAACTAAAAAGAAACAAAAGTGAGTAGTGTTCCTTCAGACTATCCTATCCTCTATGTTTATACCAAATTTCACCGAGGTCCATTCAGCCATTTACAGTACAAACACTAACAAACAACCATCTAAAGATGTGTACTTTTATTGCATAAAATCACTTAAATCTATAGCAATGTTGTAAATAGGAAAGATATGTATTGGAATAACTAAAAACTATCCAATTGCAAAAATTCTTTCACCATTAAAAAGTTATATTATAACTGAGTAACATAGGCTATATTTTTTTATGCCAAGCAAACTATGACTAGTATAGTAAAATGTTTAAAAAAATTAGGTCTCTTGCTTTATTTCAGAGTGCAGTCAGGGCAGCGATAGAAGGACGAATTCTTGTTATAGAAGGAATAGAAAAGGCTGAACGCAATGTGTTGCCAGTATTAAATAATTTGCTGGAAAATAGGGAAATGCATTTAGAAGATGGTAGATTTTTAGTACCAGCTGCAAGATATGACAAGTTGTTACAGGTAATATTAAGATATTCCTTTTAATTTTTTATAAATTTATTTCTAATTTTTTTTATTAACTTGGATTTTTTTCAGGAACATGGTGCGGAAGAAGTGTCGAAATGGCGCCTAGTCCGTGTTGACGAGAACTTCCGTGTGATAGCTCTAGGTCTGCCCGTGCCGCGATATCAGGGCCAGCCGTTGGACCCACCTCTGCGTTCCCGATTTCAAGCTAGAGATGTTGCTACTGTTGGCTATGGGGTAAGAATATTTATTTTATAATCTCTATAATATAAATAAATAATATATATATATATAATATAAATAAAAAATATAATATAAATAAATATAAATAAATAAATATAAATCTTGGATGTATGGGTTTTAGTTACCATGTAACTTTAGAACTGCTACTTGGGTGTTGAGGCGCGGAGACAGTTAAAAATAAAAATGTCATCAATTCGTACCAAATTTTTATTTTAAAAGTTGAAATTATTGCGCAGAAAATAATTAAAAGAAAATATTTGCGAGATTACCGCAATTGTTGGTGGCTTGTATTTTAATTTGAAATGAATCAACAAGGGTTAAGATTTAGATTTATGTGATAGCAAACTGCCAGTTGTATTACTCGCAACTTTATTTGGTATCGCTTCTGGCATGAAGATATGAACTTGCTTCTTAGTTTTAGCTAAATTTGGTATAATCTTCTTGTTGACTAACTCGGCATATTGTTTCTCCATCGCGCTCCTTTCAGCTATCATTTTCTGTCTCGCTTCAGCGACGTTTTGTCGTATGTCTTTGACCTTTTTGTTTTCTTTTATTTTCGCGTGACTATCACGTGACGTTGTCCTGTTACGTGACTGTCGCGCGTAATTTTCGATCGTGGTAGCCGATGTTGGCATGTAAACCTCCTCTCGATCGATCGTATCATTCGTTTTAGAATCGCTCGCCGTTAATTTGCACTCCCTCACTCTCAGATCGGTCACGGTACGGGACTTACCCAAATTCCGCTTTTGTATTTCCGGCCAGCTGTGCCTCGGCTGTGATATGCGTTCTGCATTTTCGTTTGCTAGTAAATCGACTTTACCAGCTAAATCGAGCCATTGGAGTACTCGATCGGATAGATCATTATTTTCTCTTACGTCTATTCTTGCTGTTCTATTACTTTTCACAACCCTCATGTCTATAGATTCGAATTTCGATTTTAAATTTTCGAAATCACAAACGGGCAAGGGAGAGGTTGATAATATGGATTCGTCTTCAGTTTCGATTTCAGCGAAATTTAGTTTTTCTATATCTGTTTCGTGTGAGATTCTTATTTTATCGCTTCTGATGACTAGGTCTAGATTTCGTAAGTTATTGCAATCACTTCGATGACTTAGACGTGATCCTTGTGATTTGCGTTTGGGATTGAAACTGGCTGATGAATGAGGTCTGCGTCTTTTTGAGTTTAGTTCAATGTAATGTGGGTCGTCGTGGGTGAGGATCGCGTGTCGGAATCCGTCTATCCACACTGTTCTGATGTACATGGGTCGCTGAGAAGCCTGCCAAAGCGCGGGCATATTAGCCTAATCCAAACATCAATGGATGTATTAATTGTTCGGTCCTAAAGTGGGAAAGATTTGTTCTTCATATTTACCTACGGCTTGTTTGATATTTTGAAGTTGAAAGTTCTGTAAAAAAATTATGTAATTAGTACAATTAGTGTGTGGAGTGAGATTTCTCAAACAATTTATATACGGAGAATTATAATCGCCTCCTGTAGACGTGTAAAGTAATGAATTTCAATTCGAACGCAATAACTGTATCAGATTACTAACAACACTCGTGTACCTTAGTCCTGAAAATACGCGGGATCTATACGTAATTGTACAGTCGGCTGCATAAATATGAATCTATACATTTACAAAGATTTAGATACATCAGCCTTCGGTTTCAAAAATATGTATGACTAGCTGTTGCTCGCGACTTCGTCTCAGAGACATTAAAAAAATAACCCATGTTATTCACTGATGCCGTAGCATTTTAACAACGAAAGATTTTTTGAAATCGACTTAGTTGTTTTTGAGTTATTTCAATACATACAATACAGATTTTTCTTCTTTATGATATCTTCATTATGACTATAAACATATATCACGATGTTAATTCCTTGCGACTCCAGTAGGTAGTGATTAATTGAATACGGTTCCTGATAGCGTGACGTCACGTAGTCATTGTAACCGTTACAGCTCCTTTCATTCCTACGATAAGGAATTGTATGGAAATTCATTGGATTGTATTGTTGTTTCCCCTTTTGGATTTATTATGTCTGCTTGTTCCACCCCAACGTAATAGAAACGGTAATCGGAATTAAATTTTGTATCATTTTTAATAATATGAATACGTTTTAGTGCTTTTAATAGATTTTGTTTATAATCGTTAAAGGTTTAAAACGACTTCATATTATAAATTGTTAATTAGAAATAGGTTTTAATAACAAATAATTATCGGAAAATTACACCACCATTTAACTATTTTTTTGTTGACTAAGGGCTTGTCCCACCAATGGCTGATAGAGGCCCAGATAGCTTAAAATGACATCACTGTCAGATAAGGGAACAAAATCCGATATTTCCATCACATATTTTACACGTTGGTTTGCTATCATAAAATTTGGAAGCTCTTAAAATTTTGTTACAAAAGAAATTAGGGTAATAATAAACTAAACAATTTTATCATTTATGCTGTAAACAAGTGTAAAGTAACAGAAATTATTTTAAGGAAAAAATTATGAGATAAATCGTCGTATAAAAACAGCTGTTTTACTTACTTCGTAGTAAAATTTTAAAATCAAATTATCAGTGGCCGTACTTTCGAACACAAAACACTAAATTTCGTTTTAAATTTTACAAAAATTGAGATACATACGAGGTTTTTTGGGTTTCCTATGCAACAAACGTTAACATTCATACTACGACTTAGATAAGGCAGGTAACGTCTGAACAAGTTTCAGTTTCGTGTGTAACTGCGGCCGGGACTTCGGTTTGCGACTTTCCTAACTTCTATAGTATTGTAAAGGTTAGTTCACATTTGTGAAAAAATATGAACAAACCTACTTATTTTTACATTTTGCATATGTTAACAAAGGTGAATATCAAAGAGGATTTTTTGAGTACTATAGAAATTTTGTTATGACGGATTTATATGAAGTATATGAGACGTGACATTAGTACTATTAGAAAGAGAGAGCATTAAAACATCTAAAACATTAAGTTTTCTTGCTTCTCAAACACAAGCTGTAAATGTTGTGAATTAAATAAAAAATGTGAGAGAGAAATAATGTTAACTTTTTAATCGTGTTGGTGTTGTGGCCAAAGCTTTATTGAATGCCGGCGGTTTAACGACATCATGCAACCGCCCTCCAAACTTTACTGTTCGAAGTTCAAAAATAAGAAGGAAATTATAAGTTTCCAGACTGTTTGTCGATGGGCATTTTGTTTTGTTTTTAAATAAACTTGTTTCACATCGTGTTTTGAAATTAAAACATTGTCCATAAATTACTTTGTTCTGTAAGTTTGATAAAGCAATTTCAAGGCAAGTTTTTCAGTATTTAGAATTAAAAAAAAAACAAAAGTGAGTAGCCTCTGTGTTCTTCCAAATGATCCTTTACGTCTATGCCGAATTTCATAGAGATCCGTTTCGGTTACAAACTCTAACAAACATCCATCCATCTAAACTATCATATTTATAGTAGTAAGATGGAATAGTTTACCTTTTTTAAGACTTTTGCGCCTAACTAAATAAGTAAACTAGTTAGCTACAGCTTTTTATTGCTTCCGGGCTACGCACGCTCCTTGATAACATGACCTGTGCATAATTTTGAAAACTCATTCGAATAGTTTGCACGGAACCGTGAATTTGTCTTAGGGTTGTCAAAACGACATGAAAATTCATCATTTTTGTCTACTTTTGTTTGCTATTAAAAACAAACAAGGGTTTAAGTAAACACTACATTATTATACTTGGAAAAACCATTTGATTTTTATGGATGTATGGGTTTGTTAGACAGCCCTATATTAAATTACTAGTTTCAAAGTTCACGAAGTTGATTGTAAGTTAGGAGCGATATAATCTATGATGGCTGTTCTGCAAATAGAACTTTGGTAGTGCTAAAACATTTATGTTTTTCGCTGTTTTTTAATCAAAGTTTAGCAATTTCTCAATTATAATTAGGACCTGTCCCACCTAATTGTAAATTGTCTGATAACAATCCAACTTGTAATAATGTGATGGAAATGTCGGCTTTAGTTATCTGACAGTGATGTAATTTTTAAGCTATCTGAGCCTCTATCAGTGATGGGACAGGCCCTTAGACGTTTGACATAGTTAGATAAGGGTTTTTAAGAAAGTTTTTTTGTGTGCAATTATTGAAATTATGTTCTGAAAGATCAAAGCTTACGATATTAACTTTTTATCAAAGTTGGTGTTAACATCACAGCAAGTAATTTTTTGAAAGATTTTTATATTGAAATAATTTCTTGATTGTTAATTCGACAAGAAATCTGATTGTTTGCTGTTTTAGGTTAATAATCTATTTAAACATTTAATCTAAATTGTTGTTTAATCAATTTCTTAACTGAAAATGTTTAAATTTCATACAAAATTTGTTATTTTAATGAGTGACAGTTGAAGCAGGGTAATGGCACTCGCTGCCGCAGGGGAGAGATGCAAATTCGAGAATTAGCATAATCCTAGAATGGTTTGAATAATTAATAAGCGGTTTCATTGTATCAGTTTTATTATAATCTTGTTAAATCAAACAGAAATTAGCATGGATTTGGAAGCTTATTACATTGAAACAATGTTTCTTTGGTTTATTTATTAGTTTATTATTAGTAAATGTCCTTTCCTGTGTTACAAGATTTATCTTTATAAATAACGGACGGTTGATACGAGAGACTGTCAACTATCATCCACATCTCGATGGCTGTTATTCCACACCATGGTTTTCGTGAAACTTCTTCGCACAGCCGCGTTTAAGAATGTCTTTGTTATTTCTAAACTAATACGATTTATAGTCATAAGAAGCGAGTGTACTATTTCCTCAAATATCAGCAACGCATCTGTAATTCTTCAAGTTCCTCGGCGTTCTCTCCGCGACTCCGTCCGTATGGCATTGATAAACGAAACTGAGTAGCCTATGTGTTCTTCCAGACTATGCCAAATTTAATATCTTTATCTAAACTTTCGCATTTATAATATTAGTAACATTAGTAGAAATGTTTGAGTAGACATTAAATGCCTATGTTAAAATCCACCGGAATCAGCCTGTTAGCAGACATTTACCCAGTGTAATAAGTTGTCGGAATTAATAACCCCTAGGCCTAATTGCGGATGAATTGTTTCCCCAACGCAAGTGCTAATGGCAGGCTGACATGCTACCATTTGTATAAAAACGTAGCTACTGTTTCAACACTAATTTATTAACTCTGTATTTGTACTGTTAGCAAATCTAATAGTTAATAATATTAGGTGACTAAAGACTTACGACAGACCATATATGGACGAGGAACAATGAATATGTGTACATTCTGAATATAATTTTATAGTCTGCAAAGTTCGAGACCTAAGTATACATTTAGTCTTCTATGGGTTTATTGCGTGTGTGACATTCGCTGCCTGTAAACTAAACAGACGTTGATATATTAAATACTAGTTTATCATATTTTTGTGACTTAAAGGGCAAAAGAAAAGTATTTAACATAATGTTTTACTGAAGCCCATTGCTGTGGATATTTACAAGCGCTGATGTATGTTCAAAGTTTAAACCAAGGGCGTATAATCAGCTACTGACTGTAAGACTAATGTATGTTTCAGTTTTTATATGAAATACATTACATTTGCGTATTCGTTGAATCTTAGTTTGTAATATACAAGTAACAGCTATAAAACACATTCCAAATAACTTCCAGTGCCTCGTTTCGCGTGTTTCACTTTGAAGAACAACGCAAATAAATCAGCAACTTTACCGCCTTACAATGTATACTTACAATTTAGATATGGTGACTATTTCATTTTATATAATATCTAAAATAAACGATTTATATAAACTTTAAAGTTTCCATATGTACGGTGTGTAAGGTGACAAACGAGTAAGTAGCGAAATTTCGCTGAAATTGCAAAGCGACCACAGCCAGTAGACACATTTGCAGATGCGTTGCCCACCTATAAATAACTGAGGAAGAGACGCACAGAAAGAAGATATTTTACATTACTCCCGACTGTCACCACGCTCTGTCCCCACGTAAGAATAAAAAGTTTCTTTCCCACCTTTTAGTCCCACCAGCACCAATAAGGTGACAGATGGAACAGTTATGAAATAAAATAAGTTCCAACCGTCCCCTCGTCGCAAATGTGGGACGCATCAAACTTTTTATTTTCATCTGTCTCCACATGGGGACTCAGCGGGGTGACTGTTGGGGATAATCCGATATTTTCCCTGATGCGGCCCATCTCCCACAAAATCTTTTTGCGATAGTGTCATTGTTTTTTTTTATTTAGTGTCTTTTTCGTGCTCAAAGTAAACCATTTCGTGGTTCGCGTGACGAAACTACTTTGCAACTATGCATAATTGTCAAGTCAGTAGCCGAAATTAATTCCGCGCAATAAATTGCCAGAGTTTGCTTCAACACAGCTTTATTGCTGTGATTAAGCTAAGAACATTATGCTATGAATTATTAATAAGTTCTGACAGTTTACTTTGCGAAAGGAACATTACTATTTTCCTGCAAATGTTTGTGTATTTTTTTCCGTCGTCATTTCTGTAAAACCCTTATTCCAAAAAGCGTCTAGCAGCGCGTGAATGGTCTGTCTATACCATGTAATTGTTCAGATCATAATAACTTAGTGGAAAAGGGTCTAAATTAACAATAGATAGATAAGTATTTTTCTCCTTTTATTGGCCGGTTTACTTTCAACCTAGTAAATGTTGTTTTGTCTGTCAATTGTTTTATCATATTCTACCAGGATGTCATAACGTCTGTAGTATAGTGTACTTATTGTTTGTTTACAGGAGCACATGAACGCATTGCGAGAGGAAGCTTTCCAGGTGGATTCTAGCAAGTTGGAACAGCTGCTATCAGCTGCGTACGCGCTCGTCAGCCCTGAGTTGCAGCAGATCAGCTTACCCGACTTCCCTATAGACAGTTTGCACGCCGCTGCACTTATCTTGGTACTTGCATTGTCTACAATTGTTTTTTTATGTTTGTTAAGCTAGTGCTTGACCACTATTCTACCTGATAAAAGTGATGATGTTGTCGAAAGATGGTTTAACAAACAGTTCTTTTGAAGCCCCCCCCCTCACGACTTATTTGGACAGAAAAAGTGACGCCGTCAACTTGTTTCAATCCCTTGCAGTACACACAAGGAATCTATACTATTATAATAAAGCGTAAACACACACTTCTTTGTTGCCTGAGATGTTAGCAATTACAGCATATTTTTGAATAATTATTTCTTTAATGAAAAGCCCTACACTTACGTCACGCTTTAGGCTATATATTTTCACGCCATTAAACTTAGGGGGTAAATATTTTGGATAAAAACCCTAATGTGGGAAAGAGACCATAAGTTGCTGCCGACATCAAGGAAGCAAGATTGCCAAGTCATGTCATGTCATTTTTACATTACATTTACAAATGTAAAAAAAAAAAAAATTATGCAGATGAAATCGCACGGAAACAGCTAGTAATGTATATTTATGTAGCGCCTTTCACTGTTAGTTTTTAAAATGCCTTCATAATTTCAAGACATGTCTAGACTCAAACAAAGCAAGGTTTGAATTTATAGGACTCGTGTATCGATTTGTCATTACCATATTTTGACAGTTTTTTATGATCGTATGTAGTGCGTGGTCGTATGTTTGTCTATAGTGATATGTGTCTCACGCAACCTCATCCAAAAAAGTCAGGGTCAAGGTGTCCTATAGTACTGGCAAATTGTTACATTTAAGATGTTAGTTTCAAAAAAAATATATTTTAATTTAAACATTAATGTAATTCTTGTTTATTTTACAGGAAAGGAACCCGAATATTCCAATACATAAATTAATTTACCTACTTTATCCATACAATACTTTTCTATCCAAAGATCACGTAAAGAATGTACACGGAGTCTTACAAAATCTGAACATAGATATAAAACCACAATGTAATATTATTGTTTCTGGAATGGAGTTCTCGGATAAGCAAGCTAATGTGACCCTTGATGTTAACGGTGTTAAGTCACAATTTGGCGTGCCGTGCGGCGAGAGTCAGTACAGACGAGAAGAAAAGGGCTTTGTAAAGACGGACTACCAAAGCGAGTTGCTAAACGAATTACTACTAAGTCATAGTGTTGGAGATTTCTGTATTGTTGGTAAGTTATCTACACTTCTGTACTATTATAAAGAGAAACGATTTGTATTTTTGGATTTTTGTATGTATTGAAATAACTTAAAAACTGCTATGCCAATTTAAAAGATTCTTTCACCATTAAAAAGCTACGTTATTAGTGAGTAACATAGTCTATACTTTTTTTTTTAATTTCACCCAGACGAAGTCGCGAACAACAGCTAGTATTATATAGAGGAATTATTTGTATTTTTGTATGTATTTGTTTCAAATAAAAATAACTTGGCCGTTTTTTAAATTTCTTTCACCATTCCAAATGTAATTGATCTGTGAGTAACATAGGTTGAATTTTTTATTATTTTTTTAATTTCACGTCGACGAAGTCGCGAGCAACAGCTAGTATTTGATATAGTACCATTGCAACATATTGTCATCTCTTTCATTCTCGTTAAGAAAATATAGACAACAATATCAATATCCTTGTGTGTCTGCGTTCTGTTTAATGTTTTATTTCCATCACCAAGGACCAAAAGGTTGCGGGAAGAGTCTCTTAGTTGCGCAACTAGCATCCTTATTGCACTACACGATAGAGCCCATCGTCCTGTACCAGGATATGACGGCTAGAGACTTGGTACAGCAGCGAACAACACTGAACAATGGGGACACGGTTTGGAGGAACTCGGCATTGGTGGATGCAGCTTTGAAAGGTCATATGGCGGTATTAGACGGCTTGCATAGGATTCACGGCAGTACTTTAGCAGTGTTACATAGGTATGATACGTTTCAATTTATTTGGTTAATTTTTATGTGTAACAATGGTAGTGCCCGCTTTAACATCTTAGCACTGCAGGGCCGGCACGCTCCCAGTAATACCACGACCACTCAGAAGACAGGCGTCAAATGGAAGCAATTCCGTGTTTCGTCTGATGAGTGTGGTGCCGGAGGCCTAATTTAAGTCCCTTTCTCTTTACCAAACTTTTCTTATAAGGAGAGGATGGGAAGGAGAAGTGGATTTGACGGTGGAGGAGATGCATAGGAAGGGGAAATATCCTCCTTATGTGCATCTCCTCCTCCGTCGGATAAGGGTAGGCAACGCATCTGCAATTGCGGATGTCTTTGGGCAGCGGTCGCTTCGCCATTTTGGCGGATTAGGTGGCCGCTTGCTCGTTTGCCACCTTATGTTATAAATAATAAAATATGTTTGTGAAGCTAGAGCTTGACCACAATCCCACCTGAAGAAAGTGATGATGCAGTCGAAAGATGGTACGCGCTTATAGGTAGCTGTTTACTCTTCTTTTGAAGGCGGCGGGTACGGAAAAACTGACGCCGACAACTTGTTCCAATCCCTTGCAGTACGCACAAGGAACGATGATCTCAACTTTGATGAACAAGGTCCAGCGTACTGTCCAGTGTCCTACATCTCAGAAATTTGTTCTCGTATGCTGAAAAAACTTAGTAAAATAATGATGAAATTTAATAGCAATAGTTAAATTTGCAGTAACAGTTAATAATGGTAGGGGGCTCAGCTATTGACGAAGTCTTTTAGTTTTTTATTCGTACCAGGTTAGTGCACGACAGAGAGCTGCAACTTCACGACGGTACGAGACTATTACGTCACGACAGGTACGACGAGCTCTTGACAACTGGTATCACTAAAGAGGAACTAGAAGAGAGCGGCGTCAAGAGAATACATCCAGCTTTCAGGTAAAGCATTTGTACCTTGGTTTCTCGTATTTTTTACTATCGAATTGCAGAGAGATTCCTGTTATCAGGCCCCATAGTCCTATACTAGCTTTCGCCCGCGATTCCCTCCGCGTGGATTTAAAAAAACAAAAGTAAATAGGCCATGTGTTCTTCCAGAATATGGACTTCATCTATGCTTAATTTCATAGTGATCCGTTCGATTGTTTGGACTACAAACTTTAACATCCATTCATCTATCTAAACTTTACCGCACCCGTGGACAAAACAATGATATAGTTTTGACGGGGATTTATTTGTCTTAATTTTTAAATTGTGTTCTGTGTAAAATTTCAAGACATAAATAAAAAAAAAACTTATGCATTTATTAGTAAGTTCTTTTTTTTTGAATTTGAATTTGAATAATTATATTTCTTTTAGTCGAAAACTACTAAGACTATGTTTGTTTTAAGAATCGTAGCGTTAGCAGAGCCGCCGTCGCTGGAGCGCGGCGCGGCGTGGCTCTCGCCGGAGATGCTTAGCCTCTTCGTCTTCCATGAGATGCGGAACTTAAGCAAAAACGAGGAAATATTCATTATAAATTCATTGGTAAGTTTATAAACTACCATTTAAGTGAATAGACATTAAATTTTTCTTTTTAATTTCGAATTGTACAGTAATTTTTTGAGTATATGCCAGCAATATCTTGTCATTTTGCAACTTCTTACTAATGGATGCGGTGATTTGGATGGATGGATGAATGTTTATTATTCCATATCTCCAAAACTGTATCGGATTTCGATGAAATTTGCCACAAATTTAAATCAATATCTCTAAGAACACTCATGCCATTTACTTAGTTCTTAGACAAGGTAGCTGTATAAAATAAAATTATGACATTTCAGTACGGAAACATATCCTCTCCGTTACACTCAATAATAGATTTGGCGGACCAACTACGGAAATCAGAAGACAGCACGTTGAAGAATCTCGCATCTTCTCTCTCAACACGTCAGTTGCTAAGAATAGCAAACAGAATGTCCAAATACCCGACTGACTCTGCGTACGAGACAGTGCAACGGACTTTCTTAGCAAAATTCTTACCTAATTTAGCAAGACGAGCGTTAGATGGTGCTAGTCAAAAAATAGGAATAGACCGACCCACACGTTTTGGTCTTTTCAACAACAATGAGAAGAAATTACCTTGTAATGTACAGAATGGTGTACTAACTATTGGGAATACGACCACAGAAGTGTTCAAAACAGACGCTTTAACTAAAGTCCCCGATATACTGTTTTATGATGTACCACAGCATATAAAACTTCTAGAATGGCTACTCCAAGACTTTTTATTAGGAAATCATTTACTATTAGTGGGAAATCAAGGTGTTGGGAAGAATAAAATCGCTGATAGATTATTACAATTGCTAAATCGTCCCCGAGAATATATACAGTTGCACAGAGACACTACGGTCCAGTCTTTGACAGTTCAGCCAACTGTCAAAGATGGTGTTGTCATATACGAAGATTCTCCATTAGTGAAAGCTGTCAAATACGGTCATGTTTTGGTAGTAGACGAGGCTGATAAAGCACCGACGCATGTGACATGTATTTTGAAGACTTTGGTGGAGAATGGAGAGATGATCCTTAGTGACGGAAGAAGGATAGTGCCAAGAGATATGATGGAGAGTTCTGGAGGAGATGTGACGTCATTTATACCAGTGCACGATAACTTCAGAATGATCGTTTTAGCAAATAGACCAGGGTTCCCCTTTTTGGGGAATGATTTCTTCGCTTCTTTAGGCAAGTTTTATTCTTTGATGTTTTTGTTTTGATTGGTATTTTATATTTTGTGTGAGATTTCTAGTGATTTTTGAATTCCAGGTGACTTGTTCTCGTGTCACGCGGTAGACAATCCGTCGATAGAGTCAGAGTTGGAGCTGCTGCGGTCGTACGGGCCCAACGTACCTGGAGACGTGATGAAGAAGCTCGTAGAGGCGTTCGCGGTTTTACGCAACATGGCCGATCAGGGACAGCTGACCTATCCCTATTCTACAAGGGAGCTTGTTAATATCGTTAAACATTTGCAGGTATATACGATCTTAGCGATTTTCAGTTAACCTTCATACATGTTTCATTATATAAATACGAAATTTTGTATGGATGGATAAATGTATGGAAGCTAGTTATTACATATCCCCAAAAAGGTCTAGCGGAATTCGATTAAAATTTGGCACAGATGTGGAGAAAAGTCTACAATTACATATATTTACATAGTTTTTTTTAAATTACGCGTATGAAGTCTCTGGCAAAATCTACTTCAATACTTGAGAGTTGTTCAATAGATGAATGATGTATGGAGTTCAGGGGTGGCGAACCACTGGCTCGAGTGCCATAAATTGTACAATCATAATATTTTATATACGTCGTCATTCATAAAAACGCTACGAAAAAATATGAAATAGGTGCACTATGGAATTAACATAATAATCGCAGTTAAAATTATCGAGTCGAAAGCACACTAAGATAACATTTAAAAAAAATTTCGACACCCCTGGTAGTTGAATGTCAAATATAAGTTCAGGCTACTACTCCTGTATTACTATTCTAGAAATATCCAGAAGAAGATTTGGCGAGTGCTATCGGCAACGTGTTCGACTTCGACCGCTACAGCAAGGAGCTGGCGGACACGCTGCTGGAGGTGCTGCACGCCAGCGGCCTGCCGACCGCTGGCGTGCTGGGAGGACGCTCCCCACACGCCAAGAAGTTGCAGATGACCATAGAAAGGAAAAGCGGGTATGCTTCTCTACTATTGCTCGCGAATTCGTTCCGAAATTTAAAAAAAATTAACCTATGTTACTCACAGATAAATTACCTTTTTAACAGTGATGTAGTTTTTTAAATCCCAGTAGTTTTTGAGTTCTTGAAAATACAAAATATCCTGTTTAAAAATAAAGCGTAAACACATGCTACTTTGTGGTGTAGGAAGTCAGCAATAAAGGCATATTTTGGAATAATTCTTCCTTTAATAAAAAGCCCTACACTTACGTCACGCCTTAGGCTATATTTTTTGACTAATAAACTTAGAGGTTAAATAAATTGGACAATAGCCTTCATGTGGGAAACGGACCATAACCGCCTATAGAAATAGGATAAGGTAGGGGGAGAATGTATTTAATATTTTTATATATATTTGATATGTTTGTGTAGACTGGATGTGTCCTCTCCGAAGTACGGCAAAGACGACCCGGAGAACAAGCCGCACGTGGGGGGCAACACGTGGGCGGGCGGCAGCGGGGGGCGCGACACTGCGGGCCTGGGCGGCAAGGGCGGCCCCTACCGCCTCGACAAGGGACACGATGTGCATCAGGTAACACATACACTAAACATAGCTGTTGCCTGTTACTGTCTGCGTGAAATTAAAAAAATATATACATGCTACTCACAGTTAAATTAACTTTTCTAATGGTAAATTTGTAAGATGTTATTTCATCAGTTTTAGCAGTATCAGCTCCCTGGGCGAGATTTTTATGACGCCCCTTTTTGCAGTGTTTTAAGAGGGAGCGTTTTACGCTTACGGCACTGTTATTTCTGACTTTGACCCCTTTTGACAACCGCCCTGGGCGGATGACCAATCTCGCCCTTTCTAATTTACATTTTTCGATTCTCTAGGAGGGCTATGTCCATAGCTTCATACACATTTAAATTACTTTTTAATGTTAAATTTCACATTGATCCGTTCGCACAATTTCCTTAAAAATGGATACAAATACATATTGCATCATTTTTTTTTGTATAGAAAATGGACCTTAAATTTGATTTCTTAATATTACTTTGGTTTTTAATGTTTTAAATAATATTAGCTATCCGACGAAGAAAAGAACGACATCCCGGAGCACGTGAAGGAGGCGGCGCGCGCTATGAACAGGAAAGCGTTTGAGGAAAGACTAAAGGAGATCAAAATGAGTGAATACGACGCCAAATTGTATGGACAGTTTTTACGAGCTGTACAACCACAGGTATATAATTTTACTTAATAATAATATTAAAATCATATAAATATTATAAATGCGAAAGTTTAGATGGATGGATGTTTGTTAGCGTTTGTAGCCCAAACGGCTGAACGGATCTCCATGAAGTTTGGCACAGGTTTAGAGCATAGTCTGGAAGAACACATAAGCTTTCTTTTTGATTCCACGTGGACGGAGTCGCGGGGGAAAGCTAGTTAAAAATAAATGCTTTATTTTCTCTTTCGTGTAAACTTCACGGAAGCCTTGTTTCCCATCAGTTCATTGTAAAACATTTAATGTACAAAGAAAACATAGATATACTACAATTAGATAGTGCTTTTCAAAGTGACAGAAGAAAAAAGAAATAAATATATCCATAAACAATATTTGTTAGTTAGAAACCTAAAAATCCAGCTGACTATGATTTTTATTAATATAAATAGGAACGAATTAATTTACTAAATCAACTAATAAATTTACTAAAAACTCGAGTAGAATCCATAGAGCATATATAATGTCAGTTTAACATTTCTCTCTTCCAAATAAATAGGTATTTATCAACACAATCTATATTAAATAGTTTTTTACTGGGGAAAATTGTGTTTTTTTTTATCTCCCGTGTAGATAGGCGCACTCCGCGGGGTGTTAGCAGAGCTGCAAGCGAAGAAGAAGGAACGCCAGTGGAGTCGACACCAGACCAGCGGAGAACTGGACGATGGAAAAATCATAGAAGGTATTGAATATTAAGCTAAAATATCAATTTATCAAAACACATCAATTTACTTCTAATTGTATATCGTTGTACGTTTAAAAAAAACGTATGAAATTTTGAGTATAGTAGAATTACATTTGGACTCCACTTTCTATTGAACTAGCTGTTCCCGTGCGACTTTATCCTCATAAAATTACGAAAAATTTTATTTTATTGTTTACATATGTCAAATAATCAATTGCAAATGTCAAAATGACGTGATATGATTACAATCTTGGTTCCTTGATGTTGGCAGCAACTTATGGTCTCTTTCCCACATTAGAGTTTTCATCCAAAATATTTACCCTCTAAGTTTACTGGCGTTGAAATATATAGCCTAAAGCGTGACGTAAGTGTAGGGCTTTTTATTAAAAAAAGAGTTATTCAAGAATATGGTGTAATTGCTGACATCTTAGGCAACAAAGTGTGTGTTTACGCTTTATTATAATAGTATGGATATCATAAGAGAAGGGAATAATTTCTTAAGAACTAACATATAGCATTTAAGTATGTATACTTTTCGATCTTTACTGTTTTAAGTGAAATGACTTCGTAATAGGTAGAAAAGTGACATTTGAGTATATTGTGATTGAGAGTGTCGGTAGCTCAGTGGTTTAAGCTTGTAATCACAGGTCTTGGGTTCGCATCCCGCTATGTACCAATGTGATTTTCGATTTTTCGAATTTACATATCTACATGATTTACTCGACATTACGGTGAAGGAAAATATCGTGATGTCTGCACATATCGGTGTAGAAATTCAAAGATATGTGTGAAGTCAACCAACCCGCAGTTGGCCAGCGTGGTTGACTATGCCCTATGACTAGAGGTGACCCCCTTGTTAGGGTAGGCTCCGAGCCCCTCGGTGGGGACGTATAGTGAGCTGGTGATGATATTGTGTAAGGTCTGACCGGCGAGCGGGCGATATTCCGGCGCCGCATGCAGCAGGAGCCGCCGCCCGGCGCGCCGCCGCACACGCCCAAGCGGCTGCGACTGGTGCTGGACGTCTCCGGCAGCATGTACAGGTAACACTTTCATTATTGCCTAAAAAACAACGTTAATTCAATATGCTTCTACTTCTTGACAGTGGTAGTGCCCGATTTAACATCATCGCAAGAATGGGCCGGCTCGCCCCCAGTAATACCACGACCACACAGAAAACAGCCGTCAAGTGGGAGCAATTCCGCATACAGTCTGATTAGTGAGGTGCCGGAGACCCAATTTTAGTCCCTTTCTCTTTCCAACCTTTTTCTTAAGAGAAAAGGATGGCAAGGAAAACTGCATTTGAGTGTGGAGGAGACGCATAGGAAGGGGAAATGTCCTCTTTATGTGCGCCTCCTCCGTCAATTAAGGGTAGGCAACGCATCTGTAATTGCGGATGTCTATGGGCAGCGGTCGCTTTTTGGTGGATTCAGGACGATTGCTCGTTTGCCACCTTATCATTAAATGATGAATGATTTCCATTGGTCGTTCATTAAGATTCAATTCGTACGACGGCCGACTGGAGCGGTCGATGGAGGCGGTGGTTTTGGTGACGGAGGCGCTGCGCGGGCACGAGGCGCGGATACGGTACGACGTGTTCGCGCACTCCGGGGAGGAGAGCGCGCTCGAACTCGTCAAAGTCGATAGACCTCCGGAAAACGAGAAACAAAGGTTACAGGTAAGCTATCGCCAGAATCAAGAGCGTGGCAAGTTGTTATAAGCCGCACTTGAATGTTATTAAATGAATGTATTCGAATGTATAGATAATCCGCACAATGCACGCGCACGCGCAGTTCTGCTGGTCGGGCGACAACACGCTGCCGGCCGCGAAGCACGCCATAGCCGCACTCGCTGATGAAGATGCAGACGAAGCTATCGTTATTATACTCTCAGATGCTAATCTAAGAAGGTATATCTTTAAAAAAATAGTTTTAAAAAAAAAACCTTTCGCCCGCGACTCCGTCTCCGTGATATTAAAAAAAGTGAGTAGTCTATGTGTTCCAGACTAGCAGTTTAGGCTGAAAACGCTAACAAACATTCATCCATCCATCTGTCCATTCATCCATCCATCCATCCATCCATCCATCCATCCATCCATCCATCCATCCATCCATCCATCCATCCATCCATCCATCCATCCATCCATCCAACCAACCATCCATCCATCCATCCATCCATCCATACATTTAAACATTTGCATTTATAATATTAATATCATCAACTTGCCCTTATCCCTTACGGAGGGTCTTCCATACATCTCTATCAGCCGTCATATCTGAATCCACTCCCTTAAGCATCTCACATAATCCATACTTTCTTCTATCTTCCTCTACTTTTGTAGCCACATTCATTCTTAACATTTTCTGGTTTGTTTATTATAATTTTAGATACGGCATTCCTCCGGAGTCGTTGGGCGCCATACTGACGTCAGAGCCACGTGTACAAGCACACGTCATATTCATAGGCAGCTTGGGAGATGAAGCTAATACGTACGTTATTTCTTCATTATTTTACCGACCATAAATCTCATCTATACTCTAAACTAATATAAAAAACCACACATGTAGTTACGTAGGATGTCAGCAATCACAGTCTATTTTTGAATATTTATTTCATTAATAAAAAGCCCTACACTTACACACTTTAAGCTATATATTTTCTCCCTATTAAACTTAGGGAGTAAAAAAATTGTAAAAACCGTCATACGGGAAAGGGGAAATAACTACAAGCTGATATCAAGGAAGCAAGGTTGCCATTATAACAGTAATTGTTATCCAATCTCAAAGGCTTTCGTTGTCATTTCTTCATTTCACAAATGTAAACAATAAAGTAAAGATTTAAAATAAAACAATTTCATGCGGATGAAGCTGCACGGGAACAGTACTCTAATAGGAATTAAAAAAAAAAAATTGTCTGTCTCTCCACAATGTTTTTTGCGAGTGTGTAAATTTATTTTTATACATATGAGTTTGTTAACATATATTCCATTGTGACGGTTTACACAAAAGTTATATTAAAATTGAAAATTAAAAATTTATAAAATCACTGAAAAGTACAAGCACTCATCATTTCGCATTTCTAAGTATTTTTCGATGTTTTCCTGTATTATCTTAATAGATAGAGTAAACTACACCTTTTATTTGGGGGGAGGGAATCTTCAAAAGACACCTTGTCGTCTGTGGGAAGGCAGGGTTATGTAGGATTTGACCTACTAAAACCCCCTCGGTGGTCATCCTTTAGTGACATAGAAGTAGGTTCCGGGATCTTCAAGGAACAGACCAGAACCTTCGGCACTCAGAGTACACTACACCTACACTAATGTGTAAAGACAGTCGTGTATATGTTTTTTTTTTTTTTTAGTTAAGGTAATTTATTGATACGTCCCCTTATAGGTTACTCCGCCGCCTGCCGTCGGGGCACGCGCACGTGTGTATGGAAGTGGCCTCGCTGCCGCACATTTTGCAGCAAATATTCGCCTCCTCCTTGCTACAGACCGATCATTAATCTATACATTTTTTCCGATATAAAAATAAATTTAAAACAAAACCGGAAAAATATGCGAAAAGTCACTGTAATAAATTTTTTTGTACAATCAAGTATTTCCGCGGTGTTTCATTTACAGAAAAATTACCTTGTTAAAGGCAAACTCCGCCTCTTACCATTAGGTATCAGTGAGTTGGGCAATGATGTGATAACATAATAACAAAGCAGTCGCGTATTGATTTTTTTTATTGATATTTAAAAGCTACGTTCATCTCAATGTGTATGAAATTTTAAACCTTTTAAAGTAAAACACCGCTGAGTTCCCTGATTGTATATTTTTATACAGACAAAAGTAATTATTATTTCCAGTGCTTTATAAATAACTATAATTTTAAGTGTAGGTTGACAGGATACGGGTTCAATTATAGTAAGTAATACCTAAGTAATATGTGATATCAAGTTATTTTTGAGATTTTTTTTTATATGTCGAGAATGATAATCGAATGAGTACGATTAGAATCGATTCTTTGCCAACAGTGAATATTCTATGTCATTCTTGTTAAAGAATCGATTCCAATCGTACTCATTCGATTATCATTTCCGATGTATTAATAAACGTATGGTGAAGCAATATTTTGTTATTTTTACCTGATTGATAAGCGGGTTATTCCCGTGTTTGTTTTTTATGTATATGAATTCAAATGTTACGGCCTAGAGCCTGAAAGAAACGATTTTGATGAATGAGGTATCATTTTGTATTTCCCAGAGTGTTATTGTGATTATGGGCACAAAACACATAATTTGTATGTGAGAAATGAAATATTAAAATAATTGTAGAATATAAACGAGTTCAAATAACACACGAAAAATTTATTTCAATTATAAAACTTTTTACGATGTTTTCTAATGTATTTTAAAATATTCAGTTAGTGTTTTTTTTGGTATTTATGAATTTTTTGATTTTGAACATTATGTGAATTGGAATTGTTTGTTTTGTTAAAAAAATAAAGAGTTTATCGCATTTTAGTGTCTTTTATTACTTCGATTCTATAATAACTACTAAACGAATGTATGTATCCACAGCTTGAAGGATCTGGATGAAAGGTACAGATGTAGAATGTAGTCTGAAAAAACACATGCTACGGATATTTTTTTAATTCCACGCGGATTCCACTTGTAAAAGTTAGTTAATAACTCTTTCCTGGCGACATCCATGCCATAAAGTACACAAGAGTCTTAAAACATAAGAAACTAGCCGTTACTCGCGACTTCGTTCCAGTGAAATTAAAGAAAAATAAAAAAACAGTCTATGTCAATGATAACGCAGTTTTTTAATGGTGAAAGAATTTTCAAAATCGGCACAGTAGTTTTTTCAATTCGTACAAAAACACAAATCTTTCCTCTTTACCATATAATATTAGTATATGATATATAAAATGATATATGTTTTCCCGCTTTAGAGAAAAAAGTATGGATGGATTGTGTGAAAGAGAACTTGGGATAATTCTTGCTATGAAGCTCTCAAGAACAATGTGCATAGGACATTAAATTTAGACTTGACAGACTTTTTAATGAATAGAATACAAGGGTTATTCGTACCATATGTGTATATGCATCAAACTCATTTTTTTTAAACATTACTCACAATTGTGGTGAACGATATTTCCTCTTTAATCAGTTTCGTACATGGTTGGGTTTTGACGTGTTCTTTAAAATGTTAGTTGCAAATAAAAATATTTTTGAAATTATTTCATTATTGTGTGCATGTTATGTCGGCAAGATTTTATGTGAAGGTAATGTTACGTTGGAAAAAGGAGATAAACCGATAATTTATAAATGCTGTGCTTTAGACATGGGAATGGTGGCAGAGAATGATACCTTTCGATGTAACGATTCATTTTCTGGATCGCCTAGTTTTACGTACGTCTTCGATGCAAATTTAAAAATTACGAACAAATCTATTGAGGATGTATTTGATATTAAAATTTTTGGTGCGGATTTTAACGGCATGAAACCTTGGCAGCAAAACCTTATGCCATTAGAGGTACGTATAAGCTATACTTATAATATAAAGTGAGATTTGTATTTTTGTGTGTATTGAAATAACTCAAAAACTACTGGGCAGATTTTAAAATTCATTCACAGTCAGAAAGGTAATTTAAAACTCACATATTAAAATATTGCCTATGTTAGTCTGTGAGTGACATAGGATATATTTTTCATTTTTTTTTAATTGCACACGGACGAAGTCGCAAGCAACAGCTAGTAAAATATACAGTAGTGACTAAAAATTGGAAATTTGATTGAAATTTCCGCTGTCTCTAAAATATATAATTTATATATATTTTAGAGACAGGATTATAATTTTATATTAACAGTGGTAGAGCCCGCTTTAACATCTTCGCATAAATGGGCCGGCTCGCCCGGTGTAATACCACGACCACACAGAAGACAGGCGTGAAGTGGAAGCAATTCCGCGTTTCGTCTGATGAGTGTGGTGCCGGAGGCCTAATTTTAGCCCCTTTCCCTTTCGACCCTTTTCTTAAAAGGAGAGGATGGGAAGGAAAAGTGGATTTGACGGTGGAGAGGAGGCATAGAAGGGGAAATATCCTCATTATGTGCGTCTCCTCCTCCGTCAATTAAGGGTAGGCAACGCATCTGCAATTGCGGATGTTTATGGGCAGCGGTCGCTTTCCATTTCGGTGGATTCAGATGGTCGCTTGCTCGTTTGCCACCTTATATTATAAAAAAAATATATATGCAGATACATTTGAAGATGCACTTTAACGAACGTAATATCGGGTAAGTTATGTATATATCAAATTTAAAAATCGTAAATCACATTGATACATGTCGGGATTCGAACCCAGGACCTAGTATAGATTACAGTGCATAAACACACTGAGCCCTGAGCCACATACGCTTATACTTCTGAGCAACCGACGCTCAAATTCGAATTCATTTACGATGTATTTTTACAACAGTTTTATAATTTTACAAAAACGTAACAATCAGATACATGGATATACATACTACAGTAAGCTTGACTACCTACTGAAAATTTGATTAACTAACTATTTATTAATTAAATATTATATTAATTATCGGTTATTATTAATAACTGGTATGAAATTTGGTAAACACGAATATAACATTGAAATTGGCTAATGTTAGCCATTTCTTATACATCTTACTTATTCTCGTTTTTGCGAGGTCAACAGCTAAGTCTAGAAACTTCGCATTAATGTAATAATAGCATACATAAGGAAAATAATTAAGGAAATGTATGGCGTGAAAGTGAGTAGCAGTGTTGGTCGGGGTCCACCCAGTCAGATTAATAGTCATGTAAATATATTTGTGTGCGTTCTTTCCTCTATCGGTTGAAGCGAACGAATCTGCAGGTTGTTTTCTCATTTTGACGATTATATTAATGAAAAATGATTGGTTTCAACTTCCAGCAAATACATCTAAGGTTTTTTGAGCAAAAGTAATTTAGTTAGTTTCGTATCGTTCGTAAGCGGGTAAAGGTCGTAATTTAATCTCTCGGATGCTTTTCTTTCGACAGACTGGCGAATTCCTGTACAAAGTATACTACCAGAATTCCTTTACACGATCGACATATCTTGATAAGGAAGACTATTGTTTTGAGTATCTGATGCAGGATGATGAATTTCTTATCTTACTTATTCTGGTCAAACTCAAGAATGAAGCCGATGATACAAAAATTTATTTTAGTGCTGTAGGTAAGTGGAATTGAATTATTTGTTACTTATTTAATGTTTCTCTTATTTTATAAGGTGGCAAACGAGCAAACGGCCGTCAAAATTCGCCATAATGGGGAAGCGACTGCTGTCCATATAGCCTTGCCAATGTAGAGATATCGGCAATCGCGAATGCGTTGCCTACTCATAGTCGACGGAGGATGAAATGCACATAAAGTGAATATTCACCATTCCTAATTGTCTCCTCCACCGTCAAACCCTCTTTTCCTTCCCATCCTTACCTTATAGAAACGGTTGGAGAGGGAAGGGGAATGAAATTAGGTTCCGGCACGCACACTCGTCGGAGGATACGCGGAATTGCTCCCACTTAATGCCTTTCTTCTGTGTGGTCGTGGTATTGCACCAGGCTAGTCGGCCCTACGGTGCGAAGATGTTAAAGCGGGCTCCACCAATGTTACACTCTTACATACTAGCGACCGGTTCAGGCTTCTACCATCTACCAGTATAATATATTTTTTATTAAACTGACTGCCAACCAACAATAATCGAAAAGGCACTTTAGTCAGAAGAAGAAAAACATTACAATTTTAATACACAACATTTTTAATTTGGTTAAGGCAGGCTTTACGGATTAATATTTCTGTTTAACTTTCTCCGAACAATTATTGCAAGAAATCAGATAAATTTATGACACATTGTAATGTTAAAATTGTAACATCTAATTTCAGGCTTTCTGGTATCCAGTTTTTTCTTGGCATTGGTCCTTGTGGTGTACGCGATGTTTTCCGAGCTGCGCACGCTGGGTGGCAAAGTGGCTATGACTTGTGCTGCAAATCTACTCGGTTCTTACAGCTTACTCGGTTCCTACTGTTTTCTCATGTTCTATTCATCGTTATCATACGGATCGTGTGTCACGCTTGGTAAGTACAATTTTTTTATATAATACTAGGTGGCAAACGAGCAAGCGGCCACCTTAATGGAATCCACCGAAATGGAAAGCGACCGCTGCCCATAAACATCTGCAATTATGAAGCGTTGCCTACCTACAATAACATTCTATAGGTACAGTCGGGGAAACTGTCGGTGTCCCACCATAAAAGCCACATCGCTTGGACATTTTAAAACGAGACGCGAAACTATAACCAATACAATTAGGCCACCCAACCGCGCCCTACAATGCCTGGACAGGTTATTGTTCAAAATGTGTTTAAGCTATATGTGAAGGTTTTGTAATAATGAAACTAGAAACTAACCATTAAATTAGGTAAATGGCCAGTGAACATTTGTCTGCTTATTTACAGTTATAAGCACTAATAAGCTCAAGGGAAGCGTGCGCTTGCATTGTTAATATATAAATTAACTTATGTGTCTACTTAATGATGTTTATTATTTCCAGCAACTTTGGTATATTTCTTTTTCCTGGCAACTTTCTTTTGGATGAATGTAATGTCATTCGATTTGTGGTGGACGTTTAGGTGAGTCGATTTTGCTTTGTTATTAAAAATCAAATATAACCTGCCATTATCCTGTCTGTTTACAGGAAAGGTAATAGAAACACGCTTATGGTCAAACAAGGATATCTGTCCTGTTGTAGAGGCGATGCTATCGTGGTTAATTCTGACTGAAAATATTTTAAACTGACTTTTATATAGGAAATTGCATCAAATAAAGAATATGTAAGATACCTACAGTACATCAAAACTTGTGAAACTTTGCACATTGACAGGGTGGCGCTAGTGAGACAGTAATTTTTTGGATGGCCTTTTGCCGCCCCGTCGTTCTCCCCCAGGCGTGGTGTATCCAAGGGCTTTGTTTTCTTCAAATAAAATCAATTTAAACTTTGAAATTATGGCTGGTTAAAATACAATATCTATAGCTACCTCACAGCGAAAACACACATACACCACAAAAATGGACGACATTCCGTATCAAATAGGGGAATGACGTCTAAAAAAAAAGGATCAGCGATACACTCCACACCTTTTTGATCTAATTAAGTTAAAAAAAAAAATTATCTATAGTTAAAGTTTAAAATACAATTATTAGTACATTATTAAAAAAGATAAATTACTATTACAATTATTAAAATATGTTCAGTTTTTACATTTTGTTTATTTTTATTGCTTTCGTCGCTATCTCTTTACTTTTACAAAAATCTCTCTCGTTTAGGCTATCAATATTTGGTTTAACTAATTTCCATCTTGTCGGTTTACACGGCGTGTTGTAAATATTCCAGAGGGCTGGCTAAATGTCGTAAAATCAATCGTCGCGGCGAAGCATACAAGTACTGTATGTATAGTATCTACGGTTGGGGTATGCCATTATGTTTAACGATATTCATGGTGTTAATGAACGAGTACCCGCCGCCAGAAACTGTCAGTCCCAGCATCGGGGTCTTCAAATGTTACTTTGGAGGTAACCATCTATTATTCATAGTGCCAAATTATTAAACTTAAGAGAGTATAAAATGCCAATTCTCACTTCGTAGTTACTTCAGCTACATATTTTATGAGAGCCCATGTAAAACTTAATCAACTTACGAATACTGCAACGAATCCTTAACACTTCGCTTCGTAAGCGTCATTTACAATCTGACAGACGACAAAATTTTAATAGAATTTGGAAAAGCGTAGTATTTAAGTGTTGGTACAAATTCAAATGTCGTTTCAGTAATCGGCTGTGTCTGCCTTATTAATATAATACAGAAACTAAATTACTATTACACAAAACTTTTTTAAAGTGTTCTATACGTTCCATTGCCATTTAAAAAAAATTACATTTCGAAATGAATTATTTTAATTAAGAGACGGGATTAAATATGTCGGTAGCTAGCTAATTCGCTTGGCAGTAACTGGCATGAAATTAGCTAGCACTGTGTTTATTTGAGAGCTACTTGTATGTAAGATGAGGCTTGAGACTTGACAGTGATCTCTCACGCGACATTGACAGTCTCTTATACGATCTCGTGTTCATTCTACTGGCACGTGTAAGCATTGTAGTAGCTGGCATACCAGCTAAAATCTGCTGCTTTAGCCAACGCCTGCGTTGTTTTTTTTTATCATAGGAGGTGGCAAACGAGCAAGCGGCCACCTGAATCCACCAAAATGGAAAGCGACCGCTGCCCATAAACATCCGCAATTGCAGATGCGTTGCCGACCCTAATTGACGGAGGAGGAGACGCACATAAAGAGGACATTTCTCCTTCCTATGCGTCTCCTCCACCGTCAAATCCACTTTTCCCTCCCATCCTTTCCCCTTAAGAAAAGGGTGGAAAGGAAAAGGGACTAAAATTAGGTCTCCGGCACAACACTCATCAGACGAAACGCGGAATTGCTGCACTTCACGCCTGTTTTCTGTGTGGTCGTGGTATTACACCGGGCGAGCCGGCCCTACAGTGCGAAGATGTTAAAGCAGGCTCTACCACTGTTGTGTTGTTTTGTTTTTAGATTTGGAGAAGGAAATTTATATGTACGTGCCGATGTTGATATTACTGATCTGTAATTGCATATTATTCTTGATGACGGTGTTCAATATTTGGAGATCGAATAAGTCCAGTGATATGCTCCGATTAAAATCTTCGGCTTCGGTGAAAAACAGCATCAACATGTATGTATTGATGAATATTAGTTTAGTTATATACTAGACAAGCAAAGTTAAGTTAACACGTTAACTGCGGCAAGTAAAGTCATAATTCTTCAACTGATGCGGCGGCGGGCCAAAATGCGCCCCCAGTGATATTTCCGCCAGTGCATGGTAGGTCTTTCTAGACCCACCAGCACTAGGATAGATTAAATAGCTATAACTTTGTGAAAACATAATTAAATAAAAAAAAAAACATTTTATGTAATGTATACACCAGAGATCATCGTTTCGCACTAACGATAGGGACATAGTTTTCCTAGTCCGCACTAGATTATGAAACGCGTCAGGCATATATCGGCATGTTACGCAGTGAGCGTATTAAATTATGAAATAAAATAAATTTAATCAGGGCAAGCGAGTCCTTCGGTATTTCACAATGTTACAGTTTAGTGATTCATTTTACAAAATAAATGTAATTATTTATGATTTGTGCTTTGGCAGTAATATCAATTTATTTATATATGTGTTATCCATAGTAAAAAGTCTACTTAGAACTGAAAAAAAAAAGATTTTACTTATTTTATTAGAACATTGTGGTTTATTTAAATGTAAGGTTTATATATCATGTCCCGTTTTTTTTAGGTTTTATATCTTCCTCAAGATGTCAGTAATAATGGGTATCAGTTTTGTAATGGAAGTAGTTAGTACCCGTATGCCTTATATGAAATTATGGTACATAACCGACGCATACAATGTACTTATAGGAGTCGCGTTTTTTGTTATTTTTGTTTGCAAGAGAAGAGTTTTACGCTTATTAAAAAAGAAGTGAGTATTATTTTAAACACATTATCTTATACTATGACTAGCTTTTGCCCGCGACTCTTCCGCGTGATTTTAAAAAATTAAACAAATGTATGTAGCCTATATTTCCTTCCAGAATATCTTTTACATCTATACCAAATTTCATATCGATCAGTTCATCTATTTAGGCTACAAACTTTAACAAACATCCATCCTTACATCCATCCATCTAAACTTTCGCATTTATAATATTAGTATGATAACTATAATGTATCTTAATAAGTAAAAAATGTCGTGACTATCAAATAAAACATTTGCCGTAACAGATGCATTAGAAAAATTCTTTGTTTTTCTAAATGAAGTATGTGTGTTGTGATGTGTTAAGGAACGTTCTCAACGATATTAGATATCATTACCAAATTAAATGTAATAATTACTGTACAGAATAAAATTGTATAATATTTTACTATTATTACAGGTTCAAAGGAGAAGAGCAAACCAAATATTCTATAGGAAGTACGAGCAAACATGGATCTTCACAACAATAGCGGCGTTAGAGGGCACTTTGACATTTTCGAAATTCAAAATGGCGGATTTTGATTGTTATTTTCCCCATTTGGTGTTTTCACGGATACAAAAACAAATGCTATTACTACGCTTTTAGCTATTTTAATCCATTTAATGCAATATCTGTAGTCACTGTGTCTTACAAAATATATTTTTAGCAAATCAAAGTTTAGCAATATATCTGCTGGCACAGTACCCTTTGACTGAACATAAGATCTCATAACATTTTATAGTAAAACGAGCGGTCGCTCGCAAACTTCTTTAGCGTGGAATTTTAAAAAATGGTCTTCTATAACATTCCCGTCAAGTCTAAGTCAAGTCAATTCAAGTCCCGTCCAAATCGGTCCGCCCGTTCCAGAGATAGCGGTCCGGTCGCCAATTTGACAGCGCGGAATTAAAAAAAAAAGTAGCTTATAACATGCCCATCCATGTCAGCTTCCCTCCAGTGAAAGTCCAGTCGAAATTGGCCCGGCCGTTTCGGAGCTTGCCGGAACAAACGCGGCTTGCGGACAGACAGATATACATATTTCATTTTTTTATCATAAGGTGACAAACCATCTAGCGGCCACCTGAATACATCAAACCTCCGCTATTGCAGAAGCGTTGTCATTAAACGCACATAAAGAGGATATTTCCCTTTCCTGTGCTTCTTCTCTACCGTCAAATCCATTTTACTTCCGAACCTTTCCTTAAGGAATTTTCCTTCATCCTCCTTCCTTCCCTTTCCACCATTCCTTTTCCCTTTCCACCATTTGGTGGAAAGGGAAAAGGATTAAAATTATGCCTCCGGCACGCACACACTGTACGCGTTGATCCTATTTTACGCGTCTTCGGTGTGGTCATAATATTGCATTGCAGAGTGGGACAATTCGTGCGAAATTGTTAAAGCGGGCTCTACCACCGTTCTAAATTATCTTAACTAACTATTGTATTTTAATATTATTTATAGTATTTTTATACAAATATTAAGAAGGTTCAACAAGTCACATGTCAAATATATCGTCTTCTGCACCACAAATAAGAACATAATAATCATATCAGACGGTTATTAAAAAGCATCTTGTAAAAAAAACAAAGGCCACTATTTAATGTGACCCATTCCTTATGTATGGCAGTAAATTTGTATTCACGATGCAGTGCTCGACTTACGTGACTGTGGTTGTTTTATATGAACTTTTGTATGTAATGTCATGTCAAGGACTTTGAAGGTCAATGCTATATTTGTTAAATGGTAAAACTATGTTAAGGGCCTGTCCCACCAAATTTAAAGGTCTGATAACAATCCAACGTGTAAAAGATGTGATACAACATCGGATTGTTACCTTATCTGACAGTGACGTCATTATTAAGCTATCTGAGCCTCTATCAGCCAGTAGTGGGACTGGCCTACGTTTTGAAATTGCATTTGTTACGTTATGGCCATAATTTAATAGCTTGGTCTGTAGTTTAAATAAATGTGCGTGGAGTATTTTCCAATTTGAAATCTATTATATCGTTGTATAAAGCTGGATAAATTCTTATTCTATAATAATTATATTTACTTAGAGAAGTATGGATGACTTGTGCTGTTCTACGAATTGTAAGAAAGTCTTCTTTTGATGGTTAATTAAGTGTAGATTTGTCTGACACAATATAGTGACAGTATCGTAATTTTAAAATGTTTACTTACACGTATAAATTGAAGTTATAGATAGGTTAACATTACGATGTAAATTGAAAGATATTAAACAGTGATAGAGCCCGCTTTAACATCTTCGCATGCATGGGCCGGCTCGCCCGGTGTAACACCACGACCACATAGAAGACAGGCGTGAAATTGAAGCAATTTCGTGTTTCGTCTGATGAGTGTGGTGCCGGTGACCTAATTTTAGTCCCTTTACCTTTCCACCCTTTTCTTAGCACAAAAAGATGGCAAGAAAAAGTGGATTTGACGGTGGAGGAGACGCATGTCTTTTTATGTGCGTCTCCTCCTCCGTCGAGTAAGGGTAGAAAACGCATCTGAAATTGCGGATGTTTATGGGCTGCGGTCGCTTTCCATTTCGGTGGATCCAGGTGGCTGCTTTTTCGTTTGCCACCTTATATTATATAAAAAAAGATTCAATCATTATCCTCAAGACGAAGACTTAGCGGAGCTGATACAAAGCAAATCGATAATCCTTTGCCGCTGTCCTCCGTCGTAAAAATGTACGGCTCGCGATAAAATTCCTTTTTCACTCAACGTCTTGAGATAAAATTTAGATAATGTTATTTGTATACTATTTTACACACGAACAGATCGTGTTAAAGGAAAATAAAACATCTTTATATAACAATGTACTAAAAATGTTTATATTAAGTGATTATTTCATACATTACTCTTTTAAGGATACCATTTTTTGCAATATATATCTATACATGTAATAAAATTGGAGTGTCTTTTTGTAATATCAGAGAAAAAATCCAGTTATCGAGAAGATGATGTATTTGTTTTGCTGATAACGAAAATCGCATTTAAAATTTCCCCTACCGTACTTACTCCTGTAGGGTCGGCGCACCGGGGTTTCTTACGTCACTCTTCTCCTTCACTCCCTTCTTGATCATGTCACATTTCACGCTGTCCATTCATCTCTTTCTAGGTCTACCTCTACCAGTGTACCCCTCCACACTCGGTTAGACTAGTATTTGCTCCGATATATGTAAAAAAATAATACATCTCAATAGCATATACTTGGCATAGACGGAATACTGCAACTAATGTTAAAAATATCGCTTCGGAAGCGAATCCGAAGTTTAAGTTTCGTTTCAGTATTGGGCCTTTATAGACAGAGCTTATTTTTACATTTAAAGCCCTTGTACAGAACTCACACTCAATAAACAAAATCCTCACACTTTGTGAGTAATAAGGATTTTGGATCTTAACCTTTGACGTTAGAGTGCAAATTAGTGTTACCGCCTTTACTTCTAAGCATCACCAGTAGGTATTCACCCGAGATATTTGCCTGCGGGAGGACTTGTAGGCGTAAAGGAATTTTTATAGCGGTTGTACGTGACTGAGAATTCGAGGTCGGGAGGGTATTAAGGCTGCAGGGACGGGCAATATACATCTATTAAAGTGTTTCATAAACCTTGAGAGGGTAGAGCTACTGTACGTTTGTTTGTTTTTGCTCTGTTTATTATATTAAACAGTTTTATAAGTTTAACTAGCCTCGATAAATGTTTCATGCTTAGAGTTAGTTCTGTTTCTAGATTTACTCTTTGAGTATGTCACATGGAGAATAGTACTACCTTTGTAGATATCCGAAGACGTTAATAGGATATTACAGCATTTGTTTCGTTCCGATTTAAAATCGTCTACTGGACTTCTTAAAGCTTTGCAGCCTCTTGTAGGCCCTGGTAGTAAAATTAGGTCTAATTTCCACTACTAATCAAAATCAGTCCAAAGCTGTTACTAATCATTACCGGTAGTGAAAGTATGATGAAAATCGAATCGGCACAAAATACCACGGTTTATAGCCTATCCAGATAAATGACGACTTTCGTGAAAATCCATTGTTTGTTCGATTTGATTCATCGTTTATCTGGAATTTTTCAAATATGTTCAATATTCTAGAATGTTCTCCGATTGTCATACACTTTATACAAGACTAAGTAAGACTGTAAGCGTCTAGAATTGATGTTTGAGATTGATGAATTACTCAAAATTTGTGTGTGTTTGCGCTTTATTGTATTAGTATAGATATAGATGTAAAAGAAGAGAGAGAGAGAGAGAGAGAGAGAGTCGAAACCCCTCTCTGCGTTACGGGTGTGAGTTATGTTGCATAAACGATGAGGAAAGTGAGTATTGGTATGATGTACTTAATAATACAGTACATAATGATTAATACATTATATTGATAGATACGAGTATACATTATAATTATTTCCCTATTAATATCCTTATTAACAAGATAACCTCGAATTAAATTATGACATTGGTTAAATTTCCTCGAGGCCTTTGCTCGGAGAATTAGCAAATTGAATTATCTTGTGTTAAAACAATTTCATTATCACCTCAAAAAAACGTAACATACTTGACTGATTAAAATTGATTCATAACATCATAAAGTATACCGAAACGCCGTAAGCGTAGGTTTTTAGTAATTAATGTATAAAAAGATTTTTCCTGCTGTTTTCGATGCCCACGATACAGACATTGCCTAGTGTGGGCATCACCAGATTAATCATATATTAACCACAATTTGCATTTATCTTTTAATTGGTATAACTGTAATTGTAATTGTATATGTCTTATTTTTCAATAAATTATTTCTATTTCTATTTCTATTTCTATTATAAAAGCGAAAGTTTAGATGGATGGCTTGTTACGGGTTTGTAGCCTAAATGTCTGGACGAACTCGATCAAAGGCATAGATGTAGAGCATAATCTGAATGGACAAATAGACCACTTACTTTTGTCTTTTTTTTTAATTCCACACGGACTATTATTATTATTTTCGCCATTGCAATTGGTAACTTGACATAAATAAAGATTAAGTGATTAAAGAATGGTTAAGAGGAAGAATGTATGCATGGATTATATTTTATTTGAAAGTAGACATGAAGAAGAGAGTTGACTATGAAAATATTTATTGTGCTATCTAATTAAAATAGTGCGTATTTACGCATAGTCAAATAAAAAAAATGAAAATTGGTTCTTAGTTGCGTGTAAATAAAAAAAAAATCGAATGACATTTTCGTATTCGTCAGACGATCCGCGGGCGTTCACATAAAAAGAAAACGAGCTAGAAAAATGCAAGTCACCGTGTCGAGGTCAGATACGGTCCCAGCATAAATTTAAAGCTAACTGATTTGCTTTTATAACATACCATGATTAGGTTCTTTGGATATTATTATTAGACGATGTTTAGAAACTCTGCTTACATTGATAAGATGGATGGATGTTTGTTAGAGATTGTAGCCTAAACGGCTGAACGGATTTCGATGAAATTTGGCACAGTTGTATAGAATAATATAGGAAAACATATAGGCTATTTACTTTTGTTTTATTTAAATGCACGCGGACGGAGTCGCGGGCAAATATATACGTAATAAATAATGTCCAATGTAAAGCAAGTGAAACTATTATATTATTCAAATATGTTATAACATATTATTATTTCTATATTCCCGAGAAAAAATCAGAATTTTACCACAATCAGTTTAATAATTGAGAATTAAAAAGACAAGCACATCGATATTGATTTTTATTATATTAACACAGCCGCCTTATATTATTTCCCAAAGGTACAAAGGAATGAAGTTAATTCAAAATAATGGTTCTATTTCAAATAGCTAAAGGAATTCACAAACAAGTCAAATAGTATATGGATTTTATTGCGTCGCGTCTTCAATGAATTTTAAAGCATCGAATCTAAAGCGTGTGACACACTAAAGAGCAATTTTTTTTTATATAGAAAAAGCGGGTAAACGAGCAGCGGATCGGTTGGCATTTTATTGAATTTTTTTAGAACTTTTAAAACCATACTTTGATAATACATTGTTTAATATAGATTATAGAATTAGCGATTCTTTAATTTTTCTGAAGTAAATCTGACGAACCTAATTTCTTTAGTGTCCGCGCAGCGACAGCAAAAATTCCACTCCTAATCCAGTCCTAATTTCATGTATTACATTTTGTACAGTAAGAGCGTGCGTACACTTGAAACTAAACTATCGCAGAACTGTTTAGTCTCGCTTATAAAGGTGCGCACACAACTCGATTTTTAGTTGTGCTAAAAAGTTGGATGGGCTGTGAAACAATAGACAGTTGCACAATATTTGTGCGATAGTTCAGTCAGAGGTGTGCGCCCGCTCTAAATCTGAGGTTTTAGCTCACCTGCACAGGGTTATGTCTGTCAAGCAAACCCCGTCCCGACGTTTCGAAGCGATTTATTTTGTCGTTACCTATTTCTGTATTCACCTTTCTACGAAGCGGCGACTGAAGAAGGTTTTCCTGCTTTAAATTCTAATAAGTTGAGGGAAATATAAATACAAATGGAATTTAAAATAAGTCTTATATAAAGTACATTTTTGCAATAACTTTTTTAATGCATTAGTAATTGAATAGATCTTTTTTTATTTCACTAGAAATAATTACGTAAGTGTAAATAATTGCCTTTTACTATCATCAAATTATATGTTAAAACACTCTTATTTAAAAATAGAAACATAGATAATAATGAATTTTCGAAACTGATAATTCCGCAGAACTGCATGAGTCGACAGGAAACCGTATTCATTAGAAATTCTGCAAGACTAATTTTGGGTACAGCGGCAATGAATGGAATACATGACTAGGGAAAACACTTAATAACACTTGTATATCTAATAACCGCAAATACATATAACATTAGAAACTAGATTATTGTACAAGAACAACGTATAAATAATTATTTCCTTTGAATGTAGTCATGGAAACGTCAAACGAAATATAACCGTAAACTCAAATAAATT